GAAGCAAATCTTAATATAATATAAGTGTCTCAAAAACTTAATGATCCACTTCTGAAGAAGGCCTTTTATGATTATTGTCATTTTTCTGCTGCAAGTTGAGAAAGTGTAAGCTACTTTTAACATGTAATATTTCTGTCTGCTGTGTTGTGATTGTCTGACTCTAGTTCAATGTTATTAAAATGGTCTCCGCCCCAGACAGGAGCCTCGTGTCCAAGGGCATGTCCGGACAGGACCTCGGCTCCTGACAGGTAGGTTTACAGCAGAGCCCCATGTGGCACTTTGCAAACATTTCTCATGTTAAGTAGCAAACATCAGCATAGCAACACTAATCGATGAATGTCTAGTGGGTAATAATGCATGTCGCTGCGCCATGACACCAACTGTAACATCATTTTACAGATGTTACACCATCAGAAATGTGTTGCCTGTCGCTAACAATGCTTGCGAAGTGTTCTGCTAAACAATGAGCTGCACGACAATGTCACTCCTGCATGTTAAACACGGATGTAAACAAGTACAGCCCCGAGGTAATGTGAAAGAAGTCACTTGTTTTTTTGTTTTTTTTACCTCTTATCCAGTCACACTGTGTTGGTAGCCTCAGACTTCTCCCTGCAGATCCTGCCCAACACAAACGCTTGTGTGCGCACTGATTACGAGGACAGAGGAAAGCGAAGTGAGAATCCTGCAGACAGTTTAGCTCGACTCTGTTCCTCACAGAACTCCTTTCAGGTGAACTGAGGTTCTCTTATTTTGTCATGTTGCCACGCCATGTCTCATGAAGGTTTTCGCTCTCCCTCCCAGTCCTTTTGCTCTCCATTTCTACCGCCTGATCGCTTTGCTTTCCCTTTCCCTCGGAGGGAGTCAAGTGACCAAGGAGACTCGGACAACTTCCGGAAAGTATTTTCAAAGTCAAACAGTCGGTGGTAAATTGTACATTTATGTGAACGTTTAAAAAAAGAATGACACACAAGTTGTGGGATAAATGTAAGGCTCTTGTGTTTCCTGGGTTCTTGTGATGGTTCTTGTGATGGTCGGGTTATATATGTCTTTGGGTATCGTGCACTTTGGGTTCTTTTCTGTTGAATTGTATTTAATTATTTTTAGTATTTTGCATTTGTTATGTTCTTGCTGTTGTTTATGTAAAACAAACACGCTTCGCTAAATTAATTTTATTATTATTACTCCTATTAATGATGGTGTGTCTATTAAGTAAAAATACAATTGTTATGATTACCGTAACCAGAGGTTGAAAATCAAATTTAACTACCCTTCTTCTTCTGATGATGTGATTTCAGTTGAATATATTGGATTTTTTTTTTTTTTTTACTTTATTATTTTAAAATGAATTATTGTGCTACATATGTGTCATAGTACGACGGAGGATTAGAGCCACGTTAAAAATAAAATAAAAAAAGATTTACGAGATTAAACTCCTAAATTTTCAAGAATAAAGTCGTAAATATACGTAATTAAAGTCGTAAATTTTCAAGAATAAAGTCGTAAATATACGTATTAAATTAAACTCGTAAATCGTTATTAAACTCGTAAATTTAGGAGTTTAAAGTCGTAAATTTACGACTTTATTCTTGTAAATTTAAAAAATATATATTTTTAACATGGCCCTAATCCTCCGTCGTATCATAGTCATTAGTTTTAAATAATAATTCGAAAAAAACTTGGTATCTTATTTATATCTGCCCCCGCCTTTTAGGTCAGTAAAGTCACTTAAGGGCATACACTGTTTTATTTTCTAAATTCAGATAACTTCCGGTTTAATCGTAGCCAGCTTGACCCAGATTATCCCCGGCTTCTTGTTTTTAGCTCCAAGTTGTGCTGTAGTGCTGCCACTATGCGGGCAACTGAGTGCATGTCACCTCAAATGACTGTATGGGAGCTCTCTGATGCTCTGTACAGTTTTAAACCACCTTACTGTGTTGACTTTCTGACATATCTTATGACATTATCCGGCACGACGTGCAATAGAAAGCGGGTCAGTTTGACGTTTAAAAGTGACCATTATTGTAACTCGCCAACAGTTTGTTCCCCTTTAAAAATAATTGTATCTTGAGTTTATTCAATTAAGAGGGTTAGTGTGTAGGCTGCATGTTTATTGTGCCTGCATTGCTGCGGTAGACAGTCGATAAGGCAGTCCCGACTGGGGTTTTTTTTCTGTCGTTGTGTGTGTACTGTCTGTCTGTCTGTCTGTCTGTCTGTCTGTCTGCCTGTCTGTCTGCCTGTCTGTCTGTCTGTCTGTCTCCAGGATCCGGTGTCCTCAGACGGCCCGTACACGGGCTCTAACGGCCGTGACGCAGAGGCACGTAGGCAGGAAATCATGAGACTCCATACAGTCAAAATAATAAATAAATAAATGAATAAATAAATACTGAATACTGTACAACAGCAGCCTATGACAACAATAACAGCCCGTTAATGACACAAAACTTCACCCTCATAAAACACTACCCACATGACCTGCTTCATTATTATCATTACTAACATTGTATTAGTGTATTATTATACTGTATTATTATTATTTAGCATCAGCATATATACATATATACTGTACATTCTTATATATATTTTATTATATTAGTCTATATTATATAACATTTCATTATATTACACTATATTGTTCATATTGCACTATATTATATTATATTACACTACATTATATTATATAACTGCACTCTGCATTACTGTGGTACAACACTGCCTCTCTTCTCTGAAGCTGTTTACATTACTTGCTGCTATTTATCACACCAAGTCACTTTAATCATCACTTCTCACTTTATCTTGCCATTCTCTGCAAATACTGTCTCAATTCCCTGCATAGTTAACTTCATCATTCATTTTGTACTTGTATATACCCCCTGTTTTTATTTATCTTATCTAATATATTCTGTTTAATGTGTATTTTGTATTTTGATCTTTCTTGTCTGTGCTGCTGCAACGCCCGAATTTCCCCTCTGGGGATCAATAATAAAGTATATCCTATCCTATCCTATCCTATCCTAAATAAATAAATATATGGCCTATGCTAATTTCAGTATAATGTTTGAAAGTAAAGACTATCTCCATCTACTTCTCACGGCTGTGTGTGCAGGTGACTGCTTTATTTTGCACACATAAACACTAACTCCTTAAACATCATTAAGCAAGGTACGCTCAAAGTTCAATTTTAAGACGGTTAAATAAATTAGGTCATAGTCCAAAGAAAGTAAAAATGTCTGGCGCTGGATTAGTTTGCCACAGACTCAATTTCACGGGACCAAAAAAAAACCAAAAAAAACGTAAAGCTATTGACCCAAGGCCCGTCGTGTCCCAAGGATCCCCCTTATTGGTTGTTCGCTGTTGCTATGGTACCAGACATCAGATGCTGAAGTTTCATACAGCGACTTCTGTGTGGATGCAGCAGAAGGTAGAGTCAGCGATGGAGCGTCATAGTGATGTATGAAGAGAGGGAGAGAGATTTCTGCACAACTGGACTGAATAATGAGGCTGACTCACACTATCTCTGTGGAGTGTTTCAGCCATGGCAAGAATGACAGACAGATGAGAGCCGGGTGGGTATAGGCCTATCTTTTCCAAAGCAAATGCATCAATGTGAATGTTTAAAAAAAAACAAAAAAAAAACCTTTTGAGCAAAAATCATGATTAATAAAGTGCAATGAGAAATGTGAGGGATTACAGTGGGGCTATTTAGTGAGCCTCTCTCATAGTGACTGATGCATTGTTGTGTCCAGCCTGATTGAGAAAGCTGTGGGTTGTGATGTAAAGATTTGCCACAGGAACCAGAGGACATGGAATCACTCCGTTTTCAATACTAGACATTGCTGGTGAAGTTGATGATGATTTGCTGCCATCTGGTGGATATGAGAGTTTGAAAGTTGTTGCCCCCGTGTGAACCCAGTGCACAATATTTATGACCTAGATTAGAATTAAGCATAGCTGCATGCTGGTCCCGTACATGGTAAAATGGAAGAAGAGGGCACATTTTAAGGCAATGTTACCTTTTGATAACAAGGTGCTTTTATTTATCTCAAATTGAAACGTTTTTGTTTATTTATTTTTTTTATTTGTTTTAACTTTTTAGAGTTGAATTAGCACAATGGAGGATTAGGGCCATGTTTTTTTTTAAATTTCGAAATTATTCTTGTAAATTTCGAAATTATTCTTGTAAATTTACGAGATTAAAGTCGTAAATTTACAAGAATAAAGTCGTAAATTTACGAGTTTTAAATCTCGTAAATTTACGACTTTAATCTTGAAATTGTTTTAAGATGGCCCTAATCCTCCGTCGTAAATTAGGTTTAGACAACACCTGGTTATGTTTAGGAATTTAAGATAATTTGGACCAAACTAGTTGGTCAATGTTTTATTTTGCTCTTTCGTTGGTTGGTGACATTACGTTAGTCAGCCAGCACGCACTGTTACTTAGCTTACTGCGAAAAGCCTACTTTTATTTTCGGTAAGTAGATCAATTTTAATGCCTGTTTTTGCCAGCCAAAACAAAGCATCTATGTTAATGTGTCAGTAAATGTGAATTTTGGAGATATTTAGAAGCTAGCAGTTGCATTAGCTGCTAACTTTTCGTTTGCTAACCCCTGCTCCTCTCTTGAGGTTTCACCCACTCGTTCAAATATGGCAACGTCTGGCTCCAGAAAGAAAGAAATAATGGTAGGCTACATCCGATAAAGCCAAATTTGATGCTACATTAATACGTTTTAAAATCCCATGACTCTCCTTTTGAGCGTTGTCCAGAAATAATGCTACACAAAATTTAGCAAAAGTCACACAATGAAGGAACATCTTTGATAACACACTTTCAAGGCTTCCAAATCACTATTCACATCTTGTAAAAATAATGTCATGAAGTTAGATTTTTGACTAATGATTTGCTTATTATAATCTATAGGCTACATGTAAAATATTATGGCCTCTTTCAAGTTTGTAGACCATTTAAAAATGCATATTTCTGAAACCAACACAAGAGTCAAACATCATGAGGAACATCTTCAACTTCATTATTTACTCAATTTAAGAATCCCACACTCAAACAGGGACAAAAATAGATTTAGCAAAAACAGAGGCCTTGAATGTTGGCGACTACACTCACCAACGTTATTATTTTTTTCTTTAAAAAAAAAAAACAATAATCCAACAAATATTGCACAGTAAAAAACACATAAATGGAAATTATGAAATATTTAGAAAATAAAAGAGTCATCATATTCTGAAAATAATGCAGAAAAATGTCCTATAAGGAGATTTTGGTATGATGGATGTGTCCTCTCCAGCGGTGGACCAAGAGAAACAGTCTGCTGGTAAAAAATAATCCTAAAGTATAAAAGTCCTTCACACATGAAATTGCGCAAAGGTACATAAGTCTTGTTTTTTGTCACTATTGGACGTTTGGCAAATTAAATTGAATCCAAAGCACACGCAACAGATTAACCCTATGATAAGGAAGAAGGTGCATGTGGATGGTGAGCACCCAACCTAAGATGACTTGAGCTCCTTTTTATCCAAGTCCATTTCACATAGGCAGCCCAGTTGGTATCAGGACCAGCCTGTCAGCTGCACAGAGATCCAGAGTTTTATCTTTTCCAAATAAGGCCTGTAGATCCAGTGGGCAAGTTAGATTAAATCCTGTCCTTGTTAGTTCAGTTTGGCACTGATGCGGATCCACTGAAGAGCCTGTCTTGTGTATTGGACTGCATGAGCAATGCTACTGTGAAGAGTCAATGGCCCAGACAATGTGTTCAAGTAGTTGAAGAATTCTGCAAAAGAAAAAGAAGACAGTAACCATAAAACCGTAGTTTTCATGATTGTCCAAACACATAACGTGAAGGTCGTTCTCAAGTAAAACAAAAATAATTTCTTCTATGTCGCATGTGCATACCCTTATTCTCCTTTGCAAGGTTGTCTGCCACTTCCCAGTACTCATAGCTGTACAAGACACAGTTGGTAATGTTCAGATGATTTGCTGCCATCTGGTGGATACGCTGGGGAATGCTTATATGAGAGGGGAAGTTGCTTCCCCCGTGTGAACCCCGTCCGAGTTGTTTTGCATTGGGGGAGAGTGGGGGCCCTCCTGTGCCCCTGGGAGATAAAAACACAACAAAGAGTAATGGTGAAAAACAGAGGCTAAATTGCTGGAATGAATGCGAACAAATGACATCAAATACCCTGTAATATAAAGCTATAATCCACCTACTTCCCAGAGTCAATCCAATTTGGTGGTGATGAAGGCAGTTTGGGGGAACTCTGTAATGACACCATAAAGAAAAGGCTTAAAGTCATTCAAACCTGAATATGAAAAAAAAACCTTCATATAACACATCAGATATGTTTTAGATGTACCTTAAAGTAGTCCAGCAGGACTTTGGAGTATTTCAGTGCATGGTCCTTCTTTAAACGAAACATTTGCCAGTAAAGGAGGGCAAGGCATCGGAAACTGTGTACACACCAACGGATGTCAGAGGGACTCAAGACAGACCACAAAATCATGCTCAAAATTCAGGTTCTTCAGCCCGATGACAGATGTGGCATAAACAGCGGAGATGAGATACGTACCACAGAACCGCCAGCTGTTTGTCTTCCTGTCTTGCCCCAGGGCCAGAGTGACTCTTCAGCCTCATTGCGTACCTTAAGACACATGTCTGTTAACAATTGAACTGCAGTTCAAATACATGCGTACCTGTGTCTGTGAGAAATTCCTTTTTGTATTTTGTTTGCATGATGTAGTTATTCACCTAATAAGCTCAACAGTCTCAGAGTACATGGTATAAGGAGACTTTGCCTCAAGTGGCCCTTCCTCCATCGCCTTTCCACATTCCATAAAGGAAAGAGCAGCCTCAATGTAATTCACAGCCTTCCCCAGCTTGTCCACCTGAGGAGAAAATAATCCAACATTGGTAAAATAGGAGTAGACAAAATAAATGCATTTATATTTTAGTCTCTTTTAAGTGACTAAAAACAGGCAAGAATCAACTAAAATCAAGCTCAACGTTTTGCATTCCTTTAGAGATTTATCCAGTAATTGTTAAGTCTGGCTTAGCATACAAGTAAACAAATGCAAAAAAAACTTCCCTGGTCTTCGTTAGATCAGATTGTGGGTGGCACTAGAAATATGAGGTTTACAATTTGGTATCTTTTTTCGATTGGGTGGGTGGTTGATGTTTAGTCCCTGTGATTGGTGCAGGACAACAGACTGTATGCACTTGACCGTTGTGATCTCTGTGCAAGTAATTTTTTTGTTCTTTTTTAAGTCATGTGATGCAACAGGAGGCCCCCGTTTGACCAACTGGGATAAACTCCTGCTGTGATGTGCAGGAGTGAATAACTAGATCAGGAGGACTTTAGGGTTAGTCCTCTGTGACCCACAATTAGATGACAGCTACAGAAATGATGTTCTGAATTGTTTAAATGCTATAAAACCACATCGCTTGAACGACTCACCTATTGCTTAGACAACTACTAGGGCTCATCCCATTCAAGAAATTGTTTTTTACCTATTTTTGCAAATTCAGGCAAAAACTAGAAGCGTTGAAGTGGTTGGGTTCACCAGGTCTGAAGCACTCTTCAGTATGTCTGGACCAATCTCTAGATTCTGTGGTCAGGAATGGGATTTTATTCGCCCTTTTTTCCCTGGGAAGTCTGGTCAACAATTCGTGTCATCATTCGTAATGACTTGAAGTTGAAGAGCCCAGCACCTTCATAATAAAAAGTCTCCAATAAGAGACTTCAAGGCACAATGTATCCATGAATACAAACTGATAAAGTTGTTTTTAAGTCTGTATGTACTGCACTTTCTGTTTTTAATGTAAGTTGTGTTTATTGTTCGAGCCTTGTCAAAGGAGAATTTCAGTCTCTGTTGGGACAGACAATAAAGTATATCTATCTATCTATCATTTCCTTGCTGGCAGTTGAAATCGAGTCGCTGGTGTGTGATGCATGGAAGTTTTTAGCCTCTAACCTGTAGCACTGCACTGTGTGGTAACGTCATAGCTCCAGGGATCTGCAGTGAAGCATTTAGCTTCAACATCTATCAACTGATAAGTGTTTTCAAACGGTCTCGAAGAAGACATGCAAAACATTTTTTAGAAACAATCCAGTGATGGCTAACTGTACCACTGTACTCAAGTGTTCTGTCGCTTTTAAACCATCCCCAGAAAGGGTCTCGTGTCTTTGCAATGCTGCCTACAAAGTTAACCACTTCATTTGATTTCATCTGAGTTCTTTGTTTAACTTGCTGTTAAACCAACATCCTTCGAAACATTAGCTGTGCAGATGTTGCTTAGCCGTAGAAGTTGTTGGTGTAACATCCAAACTTGCTTAGCCTTTGTTGTTAGCATCCTCCATGCTATCTTGGCACCGCCTAGAAAACGCACAGGCCAACTGGTGCACTGATGACAGTGGCGTAACACGTGTGGCGCATGTGTTTTTGTCGTGAACAGAATAGCATAGAACTGAGTTGTACGGATAGCCCTTGAGGGTCAATCCCATGGATCAGCCCGTTGTCACATTACCAAATCTTCAATCAAAGATGAAGGACTCACCATCGCGTCTGCACGGTGCTTCATCCTTTTAGCTTCATGTAAGTAGTACTCAGCATGGTGTGGGCTGAGAAGATGGATAAAAAACAAGTAAGTCACAACACTCAGGCTAGTCTATGTCGAACATTGTTGGCCATGCTATGCACTACATGGATTGCTCACGTTTCATGGTTTGGTAAGGCCCCTCTGCGTCCTGCAGTGACCCAGGACTCAGATGGCGGTTGGGGCTGCCTTGACACTTTTACAAATTCTGTCTCCAGTTTGGGCTGAGTGTACAGGTCAACAAGAGGTGAAATAAACTAATAAGGCTGCAAGCAAATTGAGTCAGAACGATCTATTATAGTACTTGCATTACCTTGACAGCAGAATCTCGATTCTTGTCTCGGTTCTTGGAGGTGTGATGCTGTTCTGATGTCTTTGTTTTAGAGGTAGGCTTGGCAGACTCTGGGCTGTCGGAGAGTGGAGACAGCGGAGACAGAGGCCTCTTGCTGTCCAAGTACTCCTCCAAATACCTGGAGGCACACAAACCAATGAACTATACACACTGGAAAAAGCACAGACACACATAATAGGAACAGTTAATGAAGTATTTTTTCCGTTATTTCTTACCCATTGTGTGTGGTCTCAGTCACAAACTCTTTCTCAGCTGTGTGAGATGAAGACTCCGTGTGGTCATTTGCATAAGGAATACTTCTCTTGCTATCTCTGCATGGAACACCATTCTCCAACTGGTCATACACAAAAACAAAAACCCATGCTTTGTACGACATCCACATATTCTGTCTGCCTTGTATTTGAGCTTAAAATGTGTTAAGCGGATTTAAACATGTTGTCTACCTTACGTTTCCTTTTGCTGTCTTTTGTCCCAGTCTCAGGGACATAAAGGTGTTTCATAGCCTCTTTCTGCTTGTCCTTGGATGATGAAGCAGTAGAGGAAGATGATGATTTTCTAACAGGCGAGCTAGTTGTGCTGTCAGGTACCCTTTTGAGAAGAGAGAGGTCTATCTGCACCACCAGATTTCTAAGTCCTCGCTGGGAGGTGGTCTTGTCACCTCGTCCAAACGGGACAAGGGTGTAGAGTTTTTGATTCCCCTCACTTTGGTTCCCTGATATGGGTCCCCTTGGATGCACCTCCTTTGGCCTGTTGTTGTCCGGTCTGCCTGGGCCTTGGTGCCCCGACTTGGACGGTCTCTTATGAGAGGTAGAGTCAGCTGGTACTTTGGTGATAGGAACCTGAGATTCAGATTCTGAATCTGAACTTGAAGAGGAGGAGTTAGAGGACGAGGAGGATGATCTATGAGGAGTTGGGGAACATGTTGGAGGTGTTGACGGCTCTTCTTGTACTTTTCTCTGCTCTTCACTTCTCCCTCCCTTTTTGGTCCTCCCCTGGTTGTGTGAGTTGTCCCGGAGGTCGTGTTGTTCTGTGCTTAAAGGTAGTCTCTGTTTGACAAGGGGCGTCTGCCATCTATTTTGCTGCTCCCTCCTCCTCCTGTTTTCCCCTCTCGCTGTCTCCTCTGTCTTCTTCTGCCTCCGTATCACTACCTCCTCCTCCTCTTCCTCCTCCTCTTCTTCAGCAGAACTCTGGATCCAGGGTCGTCTCAGTAGCTGCTCCTCCGCCAGCCTCTTGTCTTCCTTTCTCTCCTGTTTCCCTTGTTGTTTTTCTCGTTGTCTGTCCTCTTTTTTCTCTTGTTTTCTCCCCTCTGTTTGTGTTGGATGATTTCCTCTGTGTTCTACCTCCTTCTCTTTGGACTGGGGTTTCTTCTGTGGATATTTTGTGTGGTTGTCATGCACAAAAGTTTGGACAGTAGCCTCCAAAGACTTTGACCTAGGATTTAGGCTGGGGTTTGATATAGAGTTGAACCTAGGGATGGCATTAGTAGCAGCTTTAGAGGTAGATTGGGAGTGAGTGCTATGACCAGAGCTGATTACACGACTAGTGGGAACTAAGTGCTTTGCTCTTGTGGGACTTTGTTGTGTGTTAGATTGGATTGAAGGTCTAGACTTGTGGTTGGATCGACTTCTCTGGAGTTGCTCCAAATTAGATGTTTTTTTGGCTTTTGGATGCTCTGAGGTCTGTCTTGAACTTGGATTTACGTTAGGCTTGGGTTTAGATTTGTGGTTAGAGTCAGACGCTGCAGAATCCTTTGATTTGCTTTTGTGCTGGTCTTGTTGCTGTGTGGTTCTGGAATTGGCTGTGTGTTGTTGAGTTTGCTGAAGATAAGTACTTTTTGAGGGTTTGGCTTTGTTGGTGCTAGTCAATGGGGCAACCCATGACCTATTTTTTGTGTTGTATGAATTGGTTGTTAGGCTTGATTGTGTTTGGATCTGACTCTGAACTTCAGGGTAGTGACGGACCTTGGAAGGAGCTGGTAGACTTGGACTTGGGCTTCGTGGGGGGTCTCGTTGTATAGGGCTAGGACTGCGGCTGGCTCTCTGGCTTCCACATGGACTGGGGCAAACACTTGGAACCGGAGAAATGATCGGGCTGTTCCTCGGGCTCGGGCTAGGACTTGGACAGGTGCTTGGGAATGGGCTAGGGCTAGGGCAGAAGCTGTAGCCAGGACTCGGTAGGGGGCTGTTGTTGTTGCTGTAATTGAACTGGGGGCTGGGAATAGGGCTTTGGCTTGGGCTGTAGTCCCGATTGCTTTCCCAAGATCTGGCTGGAGATGGGGCTCTTTGGGTGCAGGGGGAGGGAAGGCGTCCTGGAATGCTCTGGGAGGGATCCTGTTCACTGCTGGCAGATTTTTTACGGGACTTGAGCCATTTATCCAACTGCCACTGGGCAGCAGGCGGGTGATCAGTCTTCAGAAGGCACAGATAAAGAGAGAAACAAATGTTATTCAGAAAGTAGATTCATTTCAAACAATATTAGCTCACAGGTGGAAGACATTGACATATACCATCGCCCTCTATTATGTGACAACTTTTAAAGAATAAAAGACTTGATTGGAGGCTTAAGAGAAATGACAAGAACATGTTTGTAGAGAACACTTTCATTGTCATAAAAACGATTATTTATTTGATCATTAAAAAATCTTAAAGACCCCATCAAACAAACTTCAAACTTATCTACACAATCTAACTGATGTGTCATGACTAAATCGGGATCGAACCAATCATAAGATAGAAGGCAGGACATAGCATTGGGATGAATTTGATTGGATCGTAGAAAAGTGGGCGTATCACAACAAACATGGCATAAAAATTAGACAAAGGTTTTTAATTAGTCGAAAAATCTGTACATGCACCTGAGTGCAGGATAAAAGACATTTAAAACATTTTACGTGAAGAGAAAATAGATAAGAAAATACTCAGAAATGAATTATTGGATTATTTTTGGCAGATAAATTCACTGGATTCAAACTGGGGAAAAGTAATTTTCATTTTAAGTAGATAGTAGAAAATTCATGCACATTAATATATATATATATATATATATATATAGTCCCCAAAGTTTAAAGAAGCAGTAAAGGAAATGCACAAGCAAAGTATACGTGCCTCAAATTGGAACTTCATTCTAACAATGTGTTTATGTACTAGTTTGGAAATAACTAAGAGTGCAGGTTCACATTAACAAGGCAGGACACATTTTTAGTTTCTGTAACTTTGCAGAACAATTATCAAAATTGCACCGCTCGCACTGCACATCACAATTAACTCACTGACTCAGCTGCTATTAAAAATAATTCACATTCCAAGTGGCAAATCTGGCTTATGACACGAGATAAAAGTTCCAACTGACATTATTATAACCGCCTTTCAATAACCTACTTTCAACATGGTCTCACAGTCCACATCTGTGCTTACAGTAGTTCAACCCCCCATCCAATTATGCCAAATGACTCATAATGTTTTCTTAGCAACTTGCATGGTAACCTCAGGAATGAGAAAAAAACAAGAGAAAAAGGAACAGCAGTTTTACACCAAATTTTCCAAAAGTCAGACGATACTCACGCTTTAATAGCAAAACTTCTTTCTAGTTCTCGCGTTGTCCACTTCTCCCTTAGCTGCCCAGGAGCTAAATTAAACCTCTAGTCACTCCTCAAGTCAAACAGTGACCCCCTCCCTCCCTCCCCACATCCCGCGCCCTGTTTCCAGTGAAGACACTGCATCTCTTGTACCGTCTCGGCTGCCCTCTCTCCCTCCTTCTTTTTTTTTCTGTCCCTCCCTCTTTCTCTCACTACCTGGAACTCTGGGTCTGCTGCTTCCACAACTCCAACCCCCAACTCTTCCTTGGGAGCATTTAAACAGTCCACGTAAATGAAAAACACATGGTGTGTACACCCCTACCCCCCCCCCTTCTCCTACCTTCTCTCTCTCTCACTATAGGGGCCCAATGTAGTATATGTTTAGAAATACACTTCACTATTTTGTACAGGGCCTTCCATTCATAAAAGAGGAGCAGGTTTCCCTTTCATTCCCTACATAGCACACTTCTCCAAACAACCCCCACAACAACGTCCCACATCTCCAAAAGCTCTTTGTCACTTCAGATCTAAATCGCCATTCTGAGATAATTAACAAATTGTCAACAAACTACATGCACTTTTATTTTGAAAGAGAAAGGTTGCTCTAGTTGTAGATGTCCACATGAACTCGAGACCTGATGACTTCCATGTCCTGAGGGCTTTCCTCTTTAAGACTGGGCCTGTTGACATGACACCCAGGCACTAATTCCCAAAGCAACCTCTGCACCCTCCACCCCCCCGTCATCCTCGTCTTCAACTCACATGCATTCCTTATTCCTCTGCCCCCCCCTCCCCCCCACCCCCACGCATACACCCCGCACTCACACACACACACACCTGCCGTCAACTGCCTCGAGGCCACTGCCTCCTTAAGAGAATTCACCCAAAGAAAAAAATGAAAAAAAACTGGGACCAAGAAAGAAGAAGGAGAGAAAGAGAGAGAGAGAGAGAGAGAGAGAGAGAGAGAGAGAGAGACGAGGAGTTGGGTTCTTCTCATGTTTGATCAGTACCTTCTTCTTGCAATCGCTTTCCGGCGACGCGGGACCCGGTTGAACTTCTGGGCTTCGGCCGGGGCTCCAGGAGTGAAGACTGCTGCTGGCTGACTCGGCGCTAGACTCTGAGCCTGATGAGTCCGAGCTGGAATGTCTCACCCGCCTGCCATGTGTGTGCGCTCGCTGTGCTGACAGACTGTCAGTCAACACACACACAAACATCAGAGAGGGGTCAGTGTACGCCAATGGGAGCACCCACACACACACACGCACACACGCAGGCAGAAGGACAATTCACACTCATGTTTACAGACAGTTAAGCTTATATGCACGACATGGCGATATAAATATTTGTAATCGAGTACCTGTGTCCATCCCAGGAAGCTGACTCATGAGTTGCCTTCAGGGACACAAAACAGACAAATTATTCACAGCAGTAACAACTTGTAAAACTGGATGTCTTACCTCAGCTGCTTGACATGTTAAATATTATGAGCAAATGCCGAACAGTTTCTTAGGCCCAACAGTTGCCAAACTGTGCATGGGCGTGTGCTGCGACATTAAACACTACCAGAAAAACAGGCCTCATCAGCAGGAGCTGCCAAAAGACTCCCATGATCATTGTTTTGGTTTCTTTCTCTTTACACTGTGACACAGCCTTCTTAGACTCTCACTTACAATCTTTCTGCCTCCTGAAACATGCATAGCGTAAACACATGTCAAACTTGTGTGAAAGGTAGTAAACCAGTTTTTATTTCTTTGTCTAGTCAAACATCTGGCCCATTTTTCATACGATTAGAGGCACTTCTGTTTTCAAAAGCATGTATCCCCCTTTTACAACATTATAAGTAATAATAATAATAACTTTATTTATATAGCACCTTTTAAAAACACAGGTTTACAAAGTGCTTTGACAAACTAAACCAAACACAGAAGAACATAAACAACAGCAAGAACATAACAAATGCAAAATACAAAATAATTAAATACAATTCAACAGAAAAGAACCCAAAGTGCACGATACCCAACAGACATATATACTCGACCATCACAAGTTTTAGTTTGAAATAAACATGCTTTGTCTGTTTAAAAAATAAAATGTTGCTTTAGGACTGTTTTCTGACCCAGGACCAGCAGAAACTCAAGACTGCTATACAGACTCGTACACATTGTGTGCTGTCTCTTCAGTCGAGTTGATGTTCTCATAACTCAAGTTGCTGCTATACTTTCCATCCACAGAGCAGAGGAACTACAGGCAAACATTTGAGCCTTTTTTTTGATTATTTAGAATAATTTTGGGAGCATTTTGCTTGAATTGATAGGACAGTAAGCTAGAATGGGACAGTAAGATAGGACAGTTTGCTTGAATTGATAGGACAGTAAAGAGTGGGAGAGCAAACGTTTGTTGTGTTTACAAATACAATGCTTTCATTTCATTCTGCATACTTTGAATGTACCGGTAGTTACACCTTCAGTCTACTAGGGGGCGCAGTGAGACCCAGTGCATAGAGGATAGGTGAGACAATCAAGGTAAAAGAAAGAAGAATAGATGTATGCAGGACTGAGTGTGACACACATGCAGATACAATCAGTGAATAAACAACCGTAACTTTTGGTCGTCTCCCTTGCCTGACTCACCAACATAACAACGTTTAGGGTCTAATCGAAACTGGGACTGAATCTCTGCAAATGGGCACAAGCTCTAACCGTTTGGCTAAACAGGCACTTCAATAAGCAACTTGTTTCATACTTGCAGGTTTGCAGGAAACATTGGACAATACTGAAATTATAACTTCGCTTTTATCTTAATTGGATTCAGGTTGTAGGGAGAGATGCAGCGTGTTACCTACCCTGTGAGTGTCCTCATCATCACTGCTCAGCTTCAGGTCATCAGCAAGCATCCTGTAAGCAAAGACAAACATTTAGAGCGGCACACACTGTTGACTGGCTGTCATAAAGTCACACTAATGTATATTTTTTCTCTCCCAGTTCTGATTATGTTTCCTCAACTCAAAGGTGCCAGTCTGTTCACCGATATTATATCTGTAAACAACACTGGATGGGTCTGGAACTCTTGTCTTTTTTAATTTTATTGAGGAAGAAACTTTAACTTTGGATAGATTTTTTTATTTTATTTTCCTTAGAATTATTCTTTTTATTTTTTTATTTTTTTTATTTTTATTTGGTGTAATAAAGTGACAAACTGGTGATATATACATAACAAATGAGGCACAAAAAACCAAACAGACAAGGTCAGGACAACGACTCCAAAATACAGTAAAAAATAAAATAAAACAAATAAAACAAATTGAATTTGAACACAATAAATTCAAATTAAACAAAAAAAAAAATAGTCCTTTTCAGAAGTTAGTTTTCACTCAGGTTCCCTTAATAAGGCTTCTGAAAGTGTGAGAGTATCAAACCAGCAGACTTTAACAGTTAGTCTACAATTCAGATGTAAAGAACGTGGTTTATTTAAACCTTCAAACATAAATTATAAATACTGCCTGTCATGAATTTTTTTCTTCTTTATGTATTCACTAAGTTGCACAGAGTGCTCAAAAATTATTTAAAAAAAAAGATTGTTTCCAAATGTTTTAGAACTGTTACCCATCATAAAACTGCCATGTTACATAACAAAGGCTGTGTGATAACACTGAACACACGGTTTGCCTACAACACCGAACATGTGTTTCACACTAAAAAGAGGAAATAAAGAAGCAACACACAGCAGCACGTCGTTCTCCACACAGACAGCTTGCAAGAATGTTATCTGACATTCGACCTGACCTGCATTATGTAGACTGAAGACTGTGCTGACTGACCCTAATGGTCTGCTTCCTTTTTCGTTCTCTATCTTTAATTCTTATCCCTGTTGTTTATGTTCATGCTATAAATCTCATTTTTGTTTTAAAAACTTCTGAAATGAACACTTAAACCATGTGTGTCTATATATTGAATTGTCTGTGCCGCAGCAGCAGGTCAGGTCAGATGACCTTTTGGTGGATCATGTTTCCTCGTGTCTCACTTACGATTTGTGAGGTGCAACATGAGGGTGACGGGTCATTTGCAGCTGAACATCCCCCCTACCTTACAGAGAGAGAGAGAGAGAGAGAGAGAGAGAGAGAGAGAGAGAGAGAGAGAGAGAGAGAGAGGGAGGTCACTGGGATGAAAAGCAGCCAACAAACCATATAGTAATAATCTACTGGGAATTATTGCACATATTGGTAAACTGTATTAGTCAGTAAATACATACTTTGCCTTTGTTGTGTCGTTGGTAGTTTTGCTTCCTTGGAGGGAAAATGAGAACAAAAAAAGTGATTTTGTGCAGCGAAGAGGATTCTCAGCAGAGTTTGAACAACAATATATTTTAGAACAAAAGACAGATCCAAACAAATGCAGCTGATCCAGAGATACCCAGCCAATTACTGCCACCTGCTTTACTCACAATGCAACTAAACAACCTACAGTTCTGTCAGAAAGCTGTTACAGTAATGCTGAAATAATCCTGTGTAGCCTACAGTTTCTTTATTCAAACTTAAGGAGCATGCTGCAGACTTCTTATGAACTTTACCACATTCTAACTCCACACCTCATGTTTTTTTAAACTTGTAGTTTCAGGCCGAACTTAATAAATAATTCAAAAAATAACTTATTTCCTCCTCAAGACATGTTAACACTTAAATATGTGACATTGGTGGGATTCCCCATGTATTGATCAAATTAAACACACACACGACACTGTATGGATGTATTAGTTGAACTGGCCTACGGGTCAAATGCTTGGGGTTCGAGGGGCCATTAGAACACAAGCTTTTGCTATAAGTTGTTTTTTTTTTTTTTTGCATGTATTGTTGAAAAGTCAGAGAACCACCAAATAAATGACCACAAAGAGATGCAAAAAAAAAACAATATGACACACAAAAACAAATAAATGCATTTTTTTAAACACACACAAATGACTAAAAACAGAAACAAAAAGACTACAATGGCAGAGACACAAAAAAACTACAAAATGCCTACAAATGACACAACTGTGAGACGTTCTAAGATATGAGAGAGGGTTGCCCAAAGGCCCATTTTTCTATAAGTCACCCATGCAATACAAACAAACACACACACAAACACACACACACACACACACACACACAAATACCTTAGGGTTGTAGAGGATTCTTTGGGCCTGCTGGGGCGGCCAGGACTGAGTCATGTCCTGTGACAAAGAAGCAGGGGTCAGAGGTAAATTGTGAGATGTCACTGTGATTTATGAAGCTCACATACAGACGGTCCAGGCATCCTAAATCTATCTCTAGAGTAGTGTTCTTTATATTTCTTTGATTTAGAGGTAACTTATCTCTCAATTATCTATCACATGTCCACACATATAACGCAGATAGCTCCATTTGGTGGTCACTGTAACTCACCACCAGGGGGAGCGTTACTGGTTGGAAGACATCTGTGAATATTGTTTTTTCTTTATAAGTTTTCCAGGTGTATTTTTTCCCAGTATAACAACTATTGCATATTCAGATGATTTTTGTCTTTCTATTATTTATTTGTTTATCTGTGTTCCCTCAGTTGCTCACAAGAACAATATCGTACAGTGACTGACCTGGTGCATGCAGAAGCAGCTCAATTTGTTTTGTTTATTAGCCAAATACATACTTCAAGGCATAAATAACTTTTTGAAATACATGATTTTGTACAGACAAAAAGGCTTAAGTGTCATTAGAACACAGCTCAGAATGTTTTGGCTCTTCAATGGCAAGAATCGTGCAGGTGTGCAATCAGTGAACCAAATAACAAGGCAGCCAATCAAAACATGTGTTGCTTAAGGCGGCCCCAGGGAAATGAACGTAACAGACGTCAGGTGGTTCAGGTCACAACAAGTAATCATCAGCACCCTGTGCAACAGTTAAAATCACATTAAAGCAATAGCCCACTGAAGTTTGCATTATGTGGAGGAAATTGCTAATCAATTTGCAGAATTTAATTGTAAAAAAAAAAAAAAAATTCTGCAGGAACTTGTATGGGTCAAACTAATTGGACCATCGCAAAACAACCCTTTCAGTTGCAGGAAACACTAATACTGAATCTGCACAGTCATCTTGAAAATCTACAGGTTCTCCCATAAGTTGAATCCTATGGGTCACTGATTATGCTAAACTAAGTATACACACACAGTGAAGCATAAAAACCTGCAAAGGTCGATGGTATTTTATCAATAGTTGGCACGACAGCAAGATGATACTTAACATAACAGATAACAGTGTAATTATATTATGTGAAAAATATGTGTGCAATAACCTCAGGTGCAATAACAAGACAAGAAAACATATTTATATTTTCATTTCATTGTACAGTGTTCCCCTTTGACATTTTCTTTTATTATATCTGTACTGTCCTGTACCTGTGCAAGTGGCAATAAACATCTATTCTATTCTATTCTACTTTTTTAGTGGCGATAACTTTTTTGCATACCTATTCTTTGTAAAAATCCACAATATTCAAGTATTCAAAGTATTCTCAAAAAATAAAGATTGCCATCTCCCATTAAGGCTGTCTAGTAGAACGGGGATTTCATAAATCAAATTGTGATTACTGTTATGGAAGAGGTTTGAATGCTGTTGCTTCTGAATTAACAAAAGAGATGTTAAATTCTCATGATTCATAACAAATTACAGGAAACTAAAGAGTCATTTTAAATACACATTGTTGAGGCTCACAGCTGTGACAATGCTTCCCACCATCAGGAGCGATATAAGATTGTAATACATGATTATACACTCAGACTTTCCAGAAAAAGTACCCCATTCCTCATTTGTTCTCTCCACACATTCCTCAAGACGAAACCAGTTACAGAGAGCGATCTCTGCACATATAGTACATCGTCTCAACTCCTGCTCTGATTATAATCTCTGCTGATTAGATTTGCCTGCAGTCACACTCAGACAAACCGGGCCTCATGGATGCTGACAAAGTGGCCTGATTTTGTACCATTCATTTACCATGATCATGATCTGGTAACGTTTCTACGTTGTACTGTAGAAACAAAGGGGCTAAGTTTATAATGCACACGTGTGGGACGATCACCGGGTGTGGGACGACTCAGCGATACTTTAATGCTGAAACCGTGAGCAATCCAAGACGGGGTGGTATGAGCTGTTGATTGACGACACCAACATATCCATGCACTAAATGTTAATGCTAGATCAAGTAGCCTGTTAGCATAACTGAGCTTAAAAACTCTGGGAGAAAAAAAAAATCAATACATTTTCACTTAATTTGTGATCCTCATTAAAAATAAATAACATTTCATGTTTTGAAGTGAGTTTTAATCTTCTTTTTAACTGAATCTGAAGCTACAGCTAGCCAGTTAATGTAGCCCAGCGGAGCAACAGTGACTCTGCCTGGCTAGCAGAAAAAGCCTGATAAAAACCCCAAATGAAATATAGTACTGGAACACTTTATAAACAAAATATAACATGTTATTTGGTTCATTTTCCTTTTATATTCTCTAATTTGAAGTCCCAGAAAGTCTAGCCTGTTAGTGTAGCTTAGCTAAGCAGACGCTGCAGGAGGCTAACCACCAAGCATTTAATGTTTTACAATTCAGTTAAGGTACAGATTTGAGAAGTTTAAATATGTTCATTTTCGATTTAAACACAATAGCAGGAATTTAGTTAACTTAAAAAAAGGCCATGCTAGCTCTGCCACATTACAAGTTTAAATGCTAAGCTAAGCTAACGAGCTGGGAAGCTGAAGCTGTACTTGTGCCATACAAACAGCACAGTGGCATAAGTCCCCTCATTAAACTCCCTGCAAGAAAGTAAATAAGAGTATTTCCCAAAAACAACCTTTTGAAAGGCTGTCAGCTGGAAATAATGCTCCTAGTTTTTTACAGACATTCATGAGTGGACACATTTTTATGAACCTGGCGGCTGGCTCTAAAGCTTTTCTCTTCCTTTTCTACCTGCTTCTCTTCCCACCCTCCACAGTAAGCCCTGGAGGGTTTAAGTGTTTCCTCTCCCTGCTCATCCTCTCACTTCATCATCTCTCCTCCCCTGGTCACCAAGGACACAGCACCAGCCCTCACCGCTTTCCTACTCCAACAACAACAAGGTCTCCCAGGTGGAGCATCGTGTGTTGCTATCTCCTCCGACCCTTTGCCCAACACATGTGTCTCTGTGTCTCTGTTTATGTCCGCTCTTCCTACCTGGAACAGTGTCCTTCCCTGTAGGAAGGACACAGGAAGCAGTAATCATCTAAAACCTTTTATATAAACTCTATGGTCCTTGCTGACACAGCAGTGTAAACAAGATACGCTTTAAAAATCAGTGACCAAAATGTCTACTTTTCAGTTTTTTAATTAATTTTAAACGGATGATCCTCTGATGAAAAAATGAAATATCTGCTCTGATGTCATCTATGATTCCAGGGAATCAGTATCTTTTTTTTTTTCCGTTTCATAGAGTAACATAAAAGTATTAAGAAAAATAATAAATTAGAATAAATTAAAGAAGCCCTATGTCTCAAGTGTTGATGTTAACCTTATGCAGCAATCTGCCACAGATATCGTATCCAGTATAACCCTTTTCAAAAAGCTTAATAATGAAAACATTTTTTTTTTTTTTATTATTATTAGTATTGTTTTTTATTTTCTAAATCTTAATTTAATTATCTTTTCTCTTTTCGTACCTTTTCTTTGGATTTTTATCTATTTTTATTTAATTTCATGTTGTATGTATTCTTGTATGTTTAAGAAATTATATATAAAAATGTGCCAGGATGAACAAAATATGTGATGAAATAAGACAACTTGTAATGAACTTAAACAGCCTGCAATAAAGTATTGAATATTAATAATAATGAAAACAGATGTGACCAAATTTCTATTGTTTATAAAGTCGTAAAATAACTTTTAATGAGGAATACATTTTTTTTTGTTGCAAAAGTTATATACTGCAATCATAACTATCGCTTTTCATCTATGATATAATTTCTGCTCCCAGTTTGTTGTCAATCTAAACAATTACATAATAACTATTTGAGGATGTCATGAAATAGCTAGAGATCATGTAGTTGTTGTTTTCAATAATTTATTTAACCACGTTTGTTCACTTATGTCACATCATTATGCACTCTGAGTAGTTACACACATTAAGATTTTTTCTCATAGTCCACTGCACAGCTCCTTTTGTACATTTTGTGTTTTTTATTTTTATATTTTACTATTTATTTATTTATTTTTTTAATTCTATGTTATATATTGTAATAGCTTCTTATTCTGTATTATTTAAGTTGTTGTTGGTTCTGCTTTATTTCCTTGTTAATTGTTTAGCACCAATACACCAAGTCACATTCCTTCTATGTGTAAATGTACTTGGCAATAAACCCAGATTCTGATTCTGATTCTGATTAAAAAGTTCAGTAGCTAATGCAAACAGTTTGCCAACTTCCCTCCGCCCTCTGATGTTTCATTCTGTTTTCTGTTACCTGTGTTTGCCTGTGGGAAAGCCAACCAAATGAAACAGATCTAAATAAATGTGGGTTGAATTTGGACATTTTAGGAACATTTGGGATGTTAGCATGAAACCCAACAATCTAAATAACATAGTTTGGAAAATGTCGCCATTGTTATTAAAAACCACAATCGAAAGAAAAACAAAAGTCAATTCTTACCTCTAGAATTTGTTTGGCACAGCTGTTGTGTTGGCTTCTTGTTACCTGTGCCAACACACATGAGAGGAGAAGGTAAATGAGGAGAAAGTCACAGGAAGTAAAGGCTGAAACATAATCAGGAGGGAGTCTGTAATACTTCAGAAACACATTAAAAATCCAGTCACCAGCTAGACGTGCACATGGAGAAAGACATAAAGTACAAAAACAATATTTGAGCATCTGAATGCCACAAAGTGCAGTATGTGTCATCTGAAAATCAGATGCAGTAGATGCTTAACAGTCTTACCCAGTCTCAAAGATTGACTCATTCCTTATTTTCAGCAGTCCTTAGTCATGATTTGACCTTCGATCTTTCATTTCCAAAAATAAAAGTAAATACACACATAAGCAATGCAAACACACTTAAAGACTCACCTTCTGCATTCTGCTTTCCCGCCTTTTCTGTCGTTCAAAAAACAGCATAACAATGTACTTTAAAGCCTCACAGTCTCACACACGGTGATTGTGTGACGGTTGAAGCTTCATGATGACTCACATATTTGAATTCACAGCTGCAGATGATCAGACGGATGTGGACTTTGTTGCAGGCAACTTTCTGTTTCTATTCATATTAGGCAACATCTCTCTCTCTCTGTCTCCCCCTCCCCCCCCCCCCTTTACCCCTTTTCACATTTCAGTTCACAATTCAAATAAACCTCTCTGATATGAGAGCAAAGAACAGTGTTGCTCAAGCATTATGATAAAGAACCCACTGTTTACAGTACTTTCACTTCTCATTCTGTGTTGTGGCTGTAGGTGTTGATGGGAGTGTGTTTCAAGTTTTGTGTGAAAACAGACAATCCTGCCAAGGCTGTAATAAAAAGTGCTGTTCCCCATTTTCTTGTTTTTCTTTTTTGTTTAACTTTCATATCAATTTGAATCCCTATTCATTTACATTTGGACTTCATGCTGAATACTTGTACATACTTGCAAAAATGTCATTTCCTGTACACACTATTTCATTTTCATGTTGGTGGTGCTTTACTTCCAGCTCCCCACTCTGTCTAATGTGCCATCTGTGCAGCACCAGTATGCACAGTTGAAAATGTGTTCAGCGTGGATGCTCGTGCATGTGTGTGAAACTGACTCTTTTTTGCTTGCATGACTCACTAAGGTCAGAGTCTGAGTGGATGGACCCAGAGCCTGCGGATGGAAAACAATGTGTGTGAGAACTGTCTGATTACCAAAGCCACAAGGCAAGTAAGTTATGAGGCCATAGGCAGGCACCACATGAAAAACATAAACACAGACAGACAGTATTTTCTGTTTCTCTCCCTGTGGCGATTTATAACCCCAAATCAGGCCAGCTTTTCTTTGAATTACACTACCGGCCCATTAGAGTGGATATTATCATGAGCAATGTGTTTCACACATCCATAGCCTCTAGCAGCACTAGCTACAGCTCTGTTGCAATACCCTGATGAATGAAATCCCCAGGGACAAAAACAAAACCACAACCCATCAAAACACCTGCATCAAGCCTCATACAAGCCATACCCTACTAACCACCTGTTACATTCTTAAAGTATCAGCAATTACTGAAGTTATGCCCCTATTTTGGATTCCATTCAGAAAAATTCATCTGTGCAGAGTGCCATTCACATCTGATTTTTTTTTTCTGCAAACCAAAAAAAACAAAAAACAGTAAATGCATGTCTGTTGGAATTATTCCCTTATTTTTTAGTTCAGGATTCACGCAAAAGAAGAGTAATCTGCAGTTACTCAAGGTGTGATTTGTGAATGTAAACATGCAATAGGCCTAATGTTGTGCAAGATTCAAACTGTCAGTGACTTGTCTATAAAGCTTACAACATGCACAGATGATCTCAAGTGTTTATTCTATTCTAAAAGTAGGATAGCATGCAACCTCTTACCTGAGAATACGCGCATTTGAGTAGAAAACAGACAATGGAAAGTTTCCCTTTGCCAACGAGGACAGTTGGCATGGTTCCGAGATAGTCAGTGCTCTCCTCCGGCGTCCATTCCAGTGAAGACGGTGGATGCTGTCCCTGTTTGTTGCCTCCTGCAGCCCCGGTGGCTCCTCTTCACTCGTGGTACCACCGATATGCAGCTGCCCGGAAAGTCAGTGTGAGTGTCTGTGAGAGAGAGAGAGAGTGTGTGTGTGTGTGTTTGTGTGTGTGTGTGTGTGTGTGTGTCACTGAGGGAGACAGAGGACGATGTGGGCGGTCCGGCAACGTCATCGATGACACGCATCTCACGTAGGGAGATCACGACTCAGAGTGACCCTGTGGATGTTCAACACCGGGAGATGTTTTATTTAGCCTCTTTGTAGAGGCGAAACAAGGAGGTCAGAACATTGAAGTAATAACTTTGGTGATTTGGTATAGGCATAAGTATTTAAGACTCCCTGTCCAACCAGCAGGGGCGAAGCTATGATTTAAAGGGACTGCAGAGTGGTTGGGTTTTTTTGTTCAATTGGGGGACACCAACAAACAAACATGCTTGATATAACCCAAACAATTATTCTGACATTGAAGAGACTTCCGAAACATATTATAAGAATGAAATGACGTGCACCTCCTCAAAAAACATTTCCCGCTGTTGAAAGAAGAAACGGCACAGTGCGATTGGAGAGTATGAATTAGAGCAGTAAACATAGAAAGAGGTTTTAAGTCTTAACTCATGTTGTTGTTGTTGTTTTGTGAGCGAGAAATAGGCCTAACCTTATTTGGGCAGGTGGCCATTGAAGTAACGCCCTAAATAACCCTAATTGACCCTTTAAAAAAAATACAAAAATAAATGGGAACATATTTTGCAAAAAATAAACATCATAATGTATTAAAGAAGTAATTGAGACCATTCATATAAAAGGGAAATATTTACTCAGTTCATGAGCAGAAGCATTTTGCCATAAACTTCTACAGGCTACAATTGGACTCAATATTGCTCGTGGAGAGTTGCCGTGATAAAAAAAAAATATATAGGCATAGCTTTAAAGGCTTTATATGTAATTTTTCACATTTAATTATAATATAAATCAAGTATATCCTCTGAAAATAACTCTGTGAGTCATGACTGTCTACAATGGGTGTAACACCCGAGTCCCACTGTCTGTGATGTTTTCAGAGTTTTCAGAGTCCTATCTTCAGTTTGTTTACATCGCCGGGACGGCCGGCTGACTCCTCCCCTCACGTATAAAAGTTGTTTAATTGAGGGACTAGAGAAAAGAAGAATAACATACTGTACTCACTGCTTAACTGTGTTTCTAGATCACGCTCATTTCAGGTAAATTTACATGCAGTGTGAAGATACCAGCATAATAAAGATCGCTAGCATTAGCATGCTAACACAACAATGCAGCGCGAGTTGTTTTGGTTTCATGCTGGTGCTCAAGGGCGACATCTGCTGGATCAAAAAATCACATATAAAGCCTTTAAGGCATTTTAACTTTAGCTGTGTTGTCAAAACTGGTGGCTTCAAATATTCCTTGTACAATCTATAGCAGCACATTACTAAATGGTATTTTGCCCAGCTTAGACAGACAGACGTATGGACAGGAACAAGGAATTATTATTATTTTTTTCAATCTTTCAAGTCTAAAATGTGAACTATTGGTCATTATATAGCCCAAAATTGGCCCACACTTTATACAGAAAAGAGAAAAAATAGTAAAATAGGTTTGTATAGGCCTATTCCTGTTATGCAAACATTACAGAATTCAACACAAGGTATACATTTTTTTAAATACACAGGGACTAAACAACTAAATGCAAAGTTGAAACTATCAGGAGACTGGACCTTTGGTTGATTTTCAACTTCTGTCTTTGAGGTCAACAATGATCTGTAATGGATAAGAAGTGGCATCAGTGGCAGTTAACTAAGAGGACTGCACAACACTGCACAAATCTCCTGAACTACTGTCACATTTTATTGTGTAGACTAAGCAGGTGTGTTTGTATCGTGCCTCTGACATCCGGAGAAAAATGATATAACATGCAAAGTTTACATGTAATGTCATATGTAACAGAGCAGCTTTATTGGCTGTTTGTTGTCTTTTTGCTACAGGCCATCCCTCTTCAGAAAACATACAGTATGTCTGATCATATCTCCTTCCTACATCTCGGCCTTGTGCTCTCGTCTAGTCCATCCATTATTCTGCTTAATGTATTCTGGTCTGGGTTGCATGGATTTTGCCTTGTCGTGATAAAATATGAGCTGTCTCTCTGAGCTCGATGGCTCCTGTGGGGGGGGGGGAGGTAAAGCCAGACACGAGGAGCTTGGAATATTAAAGCATTGATTTGAGACATCGGTCCACATTCCAGCTTAATAAACATATTTGAGAAGTCGTTATTAGACAATGGCTAAAATGAGCATTCAGACTATCCTTTTGCTTAAATTATGTTTCATATAACAGTTAAATAACAACAACATATTCTTCAGCCCTAGTTCCTATCTTACAGTAATATAGCTTGATCAAATAAATATCAGTTAGCTCTGTATCTCAGCTACTACATATGTTGTTTAACCTTAAAATATGGCCATATATTACTAACTGTACTTACTATTCCTTGTTTATATAGGCGAGCTAAAGGTAATACCAGAGAACTAATGTTAGCTTTTATGACAGACCTATCGTTGCCTATGTAATGGCGATCAAAAGGTGGTTTGATATTTTCCCTTTTAGATCTTTCCTATATACTTGTCTTTTCAGTTAATCTAGATGAGTCATATATTAATCACATTCCCAACTTTGTACTGAATTTTGGGCTCTCAGTGTGAGCGTGATGTCAGAGGGAAAAGGATGCTGGGTGAATATGTTGAATGGAGTGCCTTACTGGATAAAACCTTTTATCATAGGTTGCATTCAACTGAAAATGCTTGAGGTGATTGGCTGCAGGCAAAAACACAGAAATCATTATTTTAAATGCAGTTATTATTTGACTTAAGTAAATTCTAAGTTAAGAGGAAGTAACTCATTTCATCTGTAGTGTTAAAAAGGGATATGTGAAAGCTTTTGTTTACTTTTATTACCTCTTCTTCTTTGAGGTTTGACACCCTCAGAGGATAAATGACAGAGTTAGTCACCTCGTTTTAACTTTGTGTTGAACCAAACTTCAGTGCAGTGACTCTTCTTAGTTCAGTAATCAATCTTGTTTGTGTGTTTGCGTGGGTGTGCACAGAGAAGTTGTGGCTTTTACCTTTCTGTGCTTCAAAGGGCGAAGGCTTTTCAAACTGCATGTTTAGTTGATGTTTTTTTTCCTCATGAATTGATGCGTAGACTTGTTTTGGTAAGATGAGCCCTGCACTCTCACGAAGGATAAAAACCCTGACATGTTTTTTACTTTGAGGGTGCTGACATTGTCATTAAGTGACCCTTGAAGTGAGACATTCTTGCTGGATAACAGCTTCACAAAAAACAAAACCCTAACAAGCAAATCATTTCCCACATTTTAGAAATGAGAAGTTTTTCTTTTTAGCCTAATTAGTCAAACTAAAATCTCAAGAAGTGTAAAAGAAAAAAAGGGAAATGAAAGCATCACACTGTTTAGGACTGCATTGCATTATGCAGATGCAGAGCTATAACAATACGTCACATTATTATTTATACATGTATTTAATTTGAACTAAATCTTACTGTTAATTGTAAATGTGCTACAATTTTAGGAAACGATTAGATTGGAAGTTATAGTTCTATCGAATGATGAGGCTAATGATGTCATATTTTTTGTTCTGTAAATGTGAAGATTTGCTGCATTCATTGATCTTATATTAAAGTAGTGGAGTATCTGGGTTTGCAATTGTTGGTCGGATATAAAAGAAGACATTTCATGAGGTCACTTGAGGCACATGGATATTGTAACAGGAAGCTAACAGTAACACCCCTATGCAGTGTATCTGATAAAGGGATCACTGAGTGTATTTAGCTGGTTCACCATAGCATGTGGTCCTATAAGAGAAACTATCATGCACAATCTGAATTTATTGTTTGTCTTATATATAAAAGCAGAGATAACATAGAGGCTCCAGTATTAAATATATGGACGAACTGGAAATGTAAAATGATGAGAAATGCCTGGAGCCACACAGTAGCAACCTTGGTTACAGACCCATGGTGACAGGACCTCAAAGGCACAACGACATCCCTCGACGCAGCATGTTTAGAGCACGACCGGCCTCAAGAGTCAGCCTTCTTGACAACACTCACACACACACTCACACACACTCCCCGATCTCTTTCTTATGTACAGCCAACAGGAAGAGATGTTAAGAGAGAACAAGTGTCTGCAGCATGTTCTAGTTCTCATGGAGATCCTGTGAGTGGTCCAGGCTCCAGCAGGTAGAGGAGACGGAAAGATAAAGGATTAAGTACCACTTTTTAATATCAAAAGCTGTCATTATAACAGCTTATTAAATCTTCTTTATAAAAGTCAATTATTATCTTATCATTTACGTTATCGTTTGTTATAAGCTTTAAAAATGAATAACTTTTGGGTTGCCAGTTTGGGAAAAAATCCCACCTTATCAGACATTATATCTTACATAGACCAGGGATAAATACTCATTGGTTTCTACTTTCTCTCTGTCTGAAACATGACTATGGTTTGAAATGGATGGTATTATTAACAATAACATTTTCCACCTTCTAATAGTCCCAAAGTAAATATATGGTCTGGAATTATAATTAATTATACAGCAAATATGTTGAACAAATAAAAGACTTAAGCTATAATTTATGTATTTTTCTTCTTCAAATAAATGTCTTCTTATCAATGTCTAAGAAGGTGTTTATGAACTTTTAAAAAATATATGTCAATTCTAAAACCCCACTTATAAACACTAATAAATGCTGCCAGTTCAAAGGATTTCAACCGTACATTCATTTCAACGCCTCATGGAAATTACCCACAATATATATTTGTTTTTTCTATAACTAAAAAAAAACAATCTTATTTCCAAATCTTTTTTTAAATACTTTATTGCACATATGTTCATATTTTAATTTCTTAATATTGCTACCAAAGACTTCACTTCCTCAAGTAACTGGATGAATTTCCTAGCAATCATTTGCATAGAGGCTCTCGAGCTTCACAGTAGAAAACTGACTTCATGTTGACTTTGCGGTTGGATTTATTTGTAGCCTATATGTCGTTTGTATGTATGAGCGGACAGCGCCACCTTGTGGTCAAAGTGTGGAGTGAATCTTAATTCTGCTTCACGTCATTCCTGCATGAGTGTGACAACTATCATAAATATTTTAATTTGTACTTTGCCTCAGAATAAAACATTACTAGATTATAAATTTTTGTTTAACAACACCTCTTCAACATGCTCTCAAACAAACAAACAAACAAACATATAAAATATAGATGACACAAACAAACCATTTATTCTATAAAGGAAGAAGAGTGCTTTGGTTATATGAGGAGGCTCCATGATAAATCTGTTGATATAAATTTCTTAACAAATCATTCCAACATAAAGACCTTTTCAAAAATGGTGTCCCGCCTGCAGTCCAAAACGTAAATACTTTGCCCTTACTTTATTATTACAGTTTTAAATGTTACAACATTGCACAGCTCTGGACAGCTCCCCATGTCAATACTGTCCATTTACAACTCTGTTTTTGCACATTTACATTTAATCTTTTCATATTTAAGACTAGTAATGCTAAGTTAAATCCTGGTTGTATATATTCCCATTCTTAGCTTTGATATTTTTAGTGCTTATTTACTTTGTATTTAATATTATATTGTGTTTAAATTTGCTAATATTGTGTTTTTTGCTCATATTGTGTGTTTGGACAACCTGCTGCTGTAACGCCACAATTTCCCAGTTTGGGATCAATAAAGTAATTCTATTCTATTCTATTCTATTCCATTCTATTCTATTCTATTCTATTCTGTTCTGTTCTGTTCTGTTCTGTTCTGTTCTATTCTATTTTATTCTATTCTATTCTATTCTATTCTATTCTATTCTGTTCTGTTCTGTTCTGTTCTATTCTATTCTGTTCTGTTCTGTTCTGTTCTGTTCTATTCTATTCTATTCTATTCTATTCTATTCTATTCTATTCTATTCTATTCTATTCTGTTCTGTTCTCTTCTATTCTATGTGCATATAGCACCAAAAATGTGCTATATGCTAGCCTGAGGTGACTCATTCAAACAGTTCAAACCCCAATATTTTAGTTATATTTCATGGATGACAGGGGAAGCTCGGAACCAAAGTTCTGTTTCTGATAGAAAATATTAATTGACTAACTGTTTCAGCTTTACAGATGTGTTTGAATGTCTCATAGCAGGCTGCATTTCAAGATATCAGGGGAAAGCAATGGATTAGAATACAAAAGTCAACTCCCACCTGCATGTTTCTGCTCATGAAAATAGAGTCATGTGTGAACTTTTGACCTACCTGCATGTATTGCTAAGGACAGGTGATTGTTTTGAAGTTTTCAGATGCCTTCTTTCTATAACATCAGAAAGAAAAATGAATAGTTAAAGGTAGACCTCATGTAGCCTATATCATACTTGATGAATCTATTTCATTTTGCTCAAATCCAGATGTCTTGTCTAAGTCTTCTGCACGTTTTGTGCTCATATTTATGAAATTATATTTTTATAATGCATCCACGTTTAAATGTATTGTAATTATTTCATATATATGTCTATTTCTGACATGCCAGATCATCTGCTTTGAATGGAGGCCTGTTCAAACCACCGCAGCTTACAGCAGATAACAACAGATAGCCTGTGGCGTGGCTATAATAAACGGATAAAAAAGAGCAGGATATGCAAAGCCACGCAGAGGAGAGTCTATTCATGTCACGCTGAAGTGCCCTACAACAACTGCTCGGACAGGCTTGTCCCTCTTGCGTGATGTCATCCAATGGATGAGTGGCTGGCGGCTGCGATGCGCATGTATGCAGACCAGTGCCTGAACGCATCACAGCGAACCGCACTTGACAGCCTGCCAGGTTGGAGGGGGTGGTGGTGGGGGGCAAAAACACACCATTCAGGGGAGGAAACCAGACCTGCTGTAATATCCACCAGCAGCCAGCCGTCATCCGCATCCCGCAGACATCTCATCGACATCTCATGCATCGGTGTTCTGGATTAATGATGTTTCTATTCTAACGCACAGATGACAGCGTAACCGAGGCGGTAAGCTGTTTTAAAAAAAAAATACCCCCAAAAAAACACAGCCGCTTTGTTGGAAAAAAAAAAAAGGAGATCTGTTGTGTGACTTGGACATGAATTCGGCGGAACAGACGGTTACGTGGTTGATTACGCTCGGGGTGCTGGAGTCGCCGAAGAAGACCATCTCGGATCCTGAAGCGTTCCTGCAGACCTCCCTGAGAGATGGGGTGGTCTTGTGCAGGCTGCTGGAGCGGCTCAGCCCGGGCTCCACGGAGAAAGTAAGGGCAATACACCCCACTCCTCCTCACTCCCCCCCCCCCCCTCCACTAACACCACCACCACCACTATCCTCTGCATAACCAAACCGCCCGCCTAGTCAGCGCGTCTGTTTGCAGCCCAGATCCGTGAAAACCGACTGCTGTCTGGCTTCTTTTGCTGCCCACTGGTCCATGAGGCGATTTCTTTTGTAGGTCACGGCAGCCCGGGTTATTGTCTGCGAAAACAGCTCTATATGGCTGCACATACGTGTGTCAGCGTGTGTAAAAAAAACAAAACACGGGACTATAGAGCTTGTTTCCACTGCGTATTGATCTGTTCTAAATAAGACAACACAGCAAATAGGAAAAAAAAAAGATTGATTAGATTTATCAATAGATTAGATTCGATCCACCAGTGGTTTGTTCTTATTATGCAGGGAGGCCGTGTGTAATGTGTAATGTAGGCAAGGTCTAAACACTCCACAGTTTTTGCGTTATCGTTTGAAGCCCTTATTTTTAAACTCTCCTTTTTATTCTAGGCGATTTATCCGTGTGTCAGTGTATGTTTGATGCACACAATATGATCATCCAGGGATACAGCAATAAGAGCGGGCCGCCATTGACTGCAAAGGCGCACAGATAAGAGATGGACCCCTCTCCCCATTTAAAGAAACAGCGCAGTGTTTGTGTCTGTCAACCTCCAGCGTTAGCTCCGTTTAGACAGCAACCTGAGGGAGGGGATGTTTTTCCTGAAAAGAGGGATCTTCTTCTGCCTGCTGCACCGCCGCCACACAAAGCGTGAGAAATTTGCCTGTTAAATGTGCAAAAAACAGGTTCCTCCATTTTCCACCACACACTGACAATGTCGTTAAATGTCTGTCTGACATAACTGAATCATGTTTTCAACCATTTTACACACATGAAAGGATGTGATTTAGGTTAAAAGACAGCATCTGTGACCCTGTTGTGATGCTGTTGTTGAGGCTTGACAATGGGAAACAGCTGGGAAAGAGGTGCCTCATCCTGATGGGGGGGGAATCCAAATCGGTGTGGTATTATCATCTAAAGGTCTGTCAAATCTGCTGCTCATCTCATTCCAGCAGGATTTAATATGCTTTATTGACATACAAACTGCTGAGAGGATTGTCTAAATCATGGAGAACTGTCACAGGTTAAGTGCCACTGCCCTTTCCCAGAAATATCTTTTCACAATATATCCATCTGTTCCCAAAACAGATTAACTCCAAGACATGAGATATAGAAAAATACAGTTATAATATGAATATTAATCTTTTAGTTTCCTGACCAGAGATGACATGGTTCTCTAATCCTTGTAGATAATATAACAAAGAGTAAGGTATTTTACCCGCTCTTTTGTAAAGTGTCTTGAGATGTTATGAATTAGTGCTGTAAAAATAAAGATTGATCGATGGATTGATTACACAAAAAAACAGAGTCTTAAAACCCTGTCTACAAAGTATGTCTCTAATTACTCTTAAAGGCTTATATGTGATTTTTCACACTTAATATAATATAAATCAAGTATATCCTCTGAAAATAACTCTGTGAGTCATGACTGTCTACAATGGGTGTAACACCCGAGTCCCACTGTCTGTGATGTTTTCAGAGTTTTCAGAGTCCTATCTTCAGTTTGTTTACATCGCCCGGACAGCCGACTGACTCCTCCCCTCGTGTATAAAAGTTGTTTAATTGAGGGACTAGAGAAAAGAAGAATAACATACTGTACTCACTGCTTAACTGTGTTTCTAGATCACGCTCATTTCAGGTAAATTTACATGCAGTGTGAAGATACCAGCATAATAAAGATCGCTAGCATTAGCATGCTAACACAACAATGCAGCGCGAGTTGTTTTGGTTTCATGCTGGTGCTCAAGGGCGACATCTGCTGGATCAAAAAAATCGCATATAAAGCCTTTAAGAAAAGATTTCTAGTAAGGATCCCACTCATTCGTTATATATATTGTGACCAGAACATTCTATATTCACAAAGAGGAAAATCTACTTATAGTTAGCCGATGTATCTGTCCTCTGGTGGACTCTAACCCTAACTCTAAAATGCAAAATTACATTAAAACAAATAACTAGAAAATATGAACCAACATTTCTCTAACTTCTCAGCCATCACATACACTGATATTTCTGCTATATGATGCCTTCGGCTGATACATGTATTTGGACTCTTAAGGGTACTACTCTATGAACATAGATTATACCTAAGCTTTTACCCATGCAGCGCTTTCCACATTTCCCAACAGTTTCATGTTTTCTTATATAATACAGAGGAGGGTCCTTCTACGGTCCCTGGATTAGTCGGTCATTGCGTTGTTGTTCTGTCACTGGTCCTGGTTTGGCCCTCAACTGGTTCTGTGTTGGCCACACTTCAGTCGCATACTGTTTCGTCCAGAAAAAAGTTGATTATGGAGCTCATGACTTTTTCAGTTGTCTGTTGCTCTAAGTGTCTTTATAGTGTATCGTGGTTTTTCACCTTCTGATCAGACCTTTAGGCCTACGTCTTGGAGGAGTAATAAAAGGCCATGATCTATAAGGCAACACATATTTCTCCAATTTTGCCTCAATTTTGCCTCAAGGGCCTTTTTTTTCTCTTTTTTGGGGCTTTTTGTGCCTTTATTGTAGAGATAGGAAAGTGGATAGAGTCAGAAATCAGGGAGAGAGAGAGAGAGAGTGGGGAATGACATGCGGGAAAGGAGCCTCAGGCCGTATTCGAACCTGGGCCGCCCGCTTGGAGGAAACAGTCTTCATACGTGGGACGCGCGCACTAACCACTGCGCCACCAGCGCCCCACAAGGGCCTCTTTTTTAATGCCTGGTAAAACATTTTCATTTCTTTATTGTCTACATTGAACTCAAAGGCTTGGTTGCTACGACAACGATTGATTTAATCAAAGAGTAAATTTTAATCAGAGTTTAGTAAAACTGTGTTTAAAGTGAGTAAATCCTGATTTAGCAAAGCCATGTTGCGGGCCTATAGTTCTACGAGGGTGCAAAAGCATTTCACCCTCGTAGCATGTTTTATACAATAGGTAATAAAAGCTTTCAAATGACAACAGTGACTCACATCGTATTTACTATACAAACATGATCTGATGGTCATGACAGGTGCACATGACCTGTCTCATCACCGGGGATCACATGCGGGACCAATAACACCTATGCTAGGAAATATATAATCGTTGTTCATCTTTAGCTAGTTCATACATTTGGTGAAAATGTATTAATTCTACAATTCTACAATTCACTTAGCAGACGCTTTTATCCAAAGCGACGTACATCAGAGAGTAAGAACAACACAAGCAAGGATCTAGAAAAAAGGGAACAATGTGAGTAAGAGCAAACGATCAGCTTTGAGTCTGATTGGACACACAGGTGCTGACAGGAAGTGACCAGAGGCAAAGCACAACATTGAGGGCAGTTCTTGAGAGCTCTAATCAGTATAGAAACCATCTTATAAGTCGTCGTTATCAAACAAAAACCATCGTCACACCATCATCATCATCAATAATATGGAGACCATCATCATTAAGTTAGTAGGTATTCATGAAAGAGCTGGGTCTTTAGCTTTTTCTTAAAGGTGCAGAGGGACTCTGCAGATCCATGGAGTTTGGAAGTTCATTCCACCACCGGGTGGCGACAGAGGAGGGGTCTTAGGACCATACTAAAAGATGAACCAGTATTTAATAAGCTCTAAAACGCAGTCTTTGTGGTTGCACTTCAGGCCTTGGCGTTCTATTCTGTATTCACCATATTTACAGCCATTTTCTTTCATTGTCTCGGTCACAGAGGTGTCAGCTTTGGTGCAAGCTGATGGGTTTTCAAATTTGTTGTTTAGACTGGAATTATGGACAACATTCATCCATATTTTCTCAGTTTCTTAGCAAGAAAGAAGCAGTCAAATGATGAAGGTTGTTGATAAAGATTCCTTATTTGAAACCTGGAACACAAGCAGTACAATGAGCAGCATTTGAGCTCCTGCTGCACCAACGGTCTAATACTAGCTTATTGGTCTCGGTATACTAGCACGTTTATCAGAGCTCATTAAGAAAATGCAGAGGATGCCTTTGTCACCCAAAGAGACCGGACACATCAGTTTTTGTACAACCAAAGTCAGATGAGAGCAAAATCAAGGTCAGACAATGTTATGGCTTTTGGGGAAAGTAGCTGAGGCACGGCGTGGGTGAAATATTAAGTATGTCTGTTATTGTTAGTGGTAATGGAAGAAGCCTATGAAGAAATATTTACAGTGTGACTAAGTCATCCAGGCTGATACGTGTTAGCTTTACTTAATCATTGAAAAGGTTTAGCTGGCTGGAAAACAGCAACAAATATCAGTCTAGGAAGTCCTACACTAAATACATGTCAGTGTTTCCCCTAGGTTTACAGCTTTGGGGGGGTGTGGAGGTGCGGGCAGACGGACGCCGACACAAACACTTGAAGGAATCTTGGTGTTCATGCGTTACTTTCAATGACAGCTGTCAGAAAGGTATCCTTCAATGACTTCTTTCCCTGATTTCCGACTCTATCCACTTTCCCATCTCTACAATTAAAAGCACAAAAAGCCCAAAAATAAATCTAAAAAAAAAAAATTAATTAACTTCACCTTCAAGGGGAACGGGGAGGGGGAGGGGGCACTGCATGTTCTTGAGGTAATTTTAGAGTGACTCCATCATATAAATCAAATGGCCTTTTTCAGGGCGTTTAGAAAGCGCCAACCTCCAGTGTTTTAACATTAAGCCAATGGGGAAGTTCAAAATCCTTCACTTCCTGGAGTGTCTGCTTGAGGCTGGCTTCAGTTCGTACTGGAAGTCACATAGACACCCATTCAAAAAGCCTGTTTTTACTGCAGAAATTAACATGTATACAGCCTGGTTAAAAAAAAGGCACATACTGTATGGGAGGCTGAACTCATGAAGGATAAGAGTAATTCGCGATAAGGCGCATAGCTGACCTGATTGACAGGCAGGCGCGTTGTAATGGTTTTCAAGAGGCTTAAAACCTGTCTTAGCTCCAGCTCTTAGCACTGTCATTAGGTTGACTGAAAGTTGGCATTTCTAGCATGGTGGCCATCACTGATGGGCTTCCAAAGCCCCCTGCAGAGACAGACTGTGATGTCACTCAGGCTTCATCCATTAACATTTATAGATTATGTTATTTAGGCCTTTGTAGGTTCAGTGGGGAAAAACAGATAAGGGTGGTTAAACATTAAAAAAAAGAACTCTGAATATCATAGATTAACTAGACAATTTGCATTTACAAAGAAGAACAAGAAGTAGAAGTAAAAGTAGTAAAAGCAGAAGAACAAGAAGTAGAAGAAGTAAAAGGAGTAGTAGAAGAAGAAGTATTAGTAGAAGATGAAGAAACAGTAGAAGATGAAGAAACAGTAGAAGATGAAGAAACAGTAGAAGATGAAGAAACAGTAGAAGATGAAGAACAGTAGAAGATGTAGAAACAGTAGAAGATAAAGAAACAGTAGAAGATGAAGAACAGTAGAAGATGAAGAAACAGTAGAAGATAAAGAAACAGTAGAAGATGAAGAAACAGTAGAAGATGAAGAAACAGTAGAAGAAGAAGTTAAAGGAGTAGTAGAAGATGAAGAAACAGTAGAAGATGAAGAAACAGTAGAAGATAAAGAAACAGTAGAAGATGAAGAAACAGTAGAAGATGAAGAAACAGTAGAAGAAGAAGTTAAAGGAGTAGTAGAAGATGAAGAAACAGTAGAAGATCAAGAAGAAGTAGAAGATGAAGAAACAGTAGAAGATGAAGAAACAGTAGAAGATGAAGAAACAGTAGAAGATGAAGAAACAGTAGAAGATAAAGAAACAGTAGAAGATGAAGAAGAAGTAGAAGATGAAGAAGAAGTAGAAGATGAAGAAACAGTAGAAGATGAAGAAACAGTAGAAGTGGTAGAACAAGTAGAAGATTCTGCATAAAGACGGCTTAAATGCAGTCAGATAATGAGAAAAAGGGGAAATTGTCTCCCCATTGAGTGCTCATTTCAAGGACTTAAATTAAGAGTTGGTGGCTAAATGATGATTTTGTGAGCAAAAGGACAAATGGCCGAATGCGTTGGTGTGATTTTCATGTCTGGGATCCAAGAAATGTGGAAACCACAGCGATCTAAAAAGTTAGTCCCAAGAGGTTTGGTCAGGAAGTTTGGCTGAAGTTTACCATTACCCAGGTAGAGATTTATCTGGACCACCTGCCGCTTTGAAGCTCACAGTGTAAAAACCTTTGCTCTGTTTGTCCTGAAAACTCAATGTGTGAGAGAGGACAAGTTTTCCTACATTTTGAGGGTAAATTTATGTGTGTGGGGTGAACATTGTGGTCAGTAGAGCAATTTCTTCGGGAGATTTTGAAACTATCTCAGAACTCTGTCCCACTCTAGCGATGATGTCACTCACTCTAGCCCCGAACATTCCACCACACACACACCCATTGAAAAACTGTGAAAGCACTTAAAAACATCACAAAACAGTTGGCGGTCCAGTTTGAAAAGTATAAAAGATAGCAAGATGAGTGAAAGTAGTATAAATAGTGGGAAAGTATGTAAACTTTTTAAAGTAAGAATGAAGTGTCTAGGCGGAACACAGTCAAAGTTATAAGGCTAAGAAAAAAGTGGAAAAGTAGAAAAATTTCCCATTCATTTGAATGGGGAAACATTTTGTGGAAAAAGTAAAATAACTTAAAAAGTAGTTAAAAAGTGAAAAATCATAGCCATCATGTCCCGGAGAAGCCGGATAGTAGATGATAGACGATAGTTTAATGGTGGAAGTAGCACAAATTGTTGAAGAGTAGAAGCGCGGCGAAAAACGTACGGAAGTAGAGGAAGAATAACTAGACAATTTGCATTTACCTGCGGAAAATGCGTGGGAATGCTGACCGCTGAAATGTTTTGCAAAACACTGCTGAATGAAGAAGAATCAGCAGAAACAGCTGAAGGAATAGTAGAAGATGAAGAAGATTAGTAGAAGAAGTAGAGGAAGTAAAAGTAGTAAAAGGAGAAGAACAAGAAGTAGAAGAAGAAAAAGAAAAAGATTTGGATAACAATAGTGTGAATGCTCTATTACATCATTCCTACTAATTAAGAAGTTATTTTGGAGGTTGAATGAAAAACAAGATATAACTTTGTCAAGTCGAGTGTGGTGTCAGTCAGTAAGGTACGGTGTCAGTCGATAAGTCATGTATGGCGTCAGTCTATATGGTATTGTGCCTTTCAGTCATTAAGCAAGGTATGACGTCAGTAAGTCAGGTATGATGTCACTCAGAATGTCATGTGCCGAGTCTACAATTCCACAATCCATTTAGCGGACGCTTTCGTCCAAAGCGACGAACGATCGAAGAGATCGTTAGCAAAGGACAGGCGGTGCACAGAGGCAAAGCATTTTTACTTTTCATTTAAATGTGTCGTCACCATCGTCGACAACATCGACAGCTTCTCATGAGAATTCGAATCAGCATCAGTAACATCCTAAATATCCTCATTGTTGTCATCTTTATCATGATCAATATCAGCATCAACATCAACATCATCGTCGCCATCTTCATGAAAATCAGTCCCACCATTATCTTTAAATATGTAACTGTTCATGAAAGAGTTGGCTCTTTTTCTTTTAAAGTTGGTCAGGTGTTTTTTGTCACTGTTTTGTAAGCGAGCAGCAGTGTGTATGAATTTGATGCCAGCACACTGGGAGCCAATGGAGGGATATGAACAGAGAAGGGACATGCTGTTTTGGTGTCAGTCAGTTAGTCAGGTATCATGTCTTTCTGTCAGTACGTCAGGTTTGATGGCAGTCAGAAAGTCAGGTATGGTGTCTATCAGAAAGTCAGGTATAGTGTTTGTCAGCCAGCTAGGTGTTGTGTAAGTCATTAAGTCAGATATGGAGTCAGGCAGTAAGTCAAGTTTTGTTATTAAGTAAGGTTTGGTATTTGTTAGACAGTAGGTATTGTGTCAGTCAGTAGGTCAGGTATGTAGTGAGGCAGTAAGTCAGGTATGATACCTGTCACGAAGTCACGTGCAGTGTCTACAATTCTACAACTCATTTAGCAGACGCTTTCGTCCAGATTCCTGTAGGGATCAGGTGCAAAGCGTTTCAGTTAGCATTAGCGCCATCTTGAATGTACACCGATTATTGTACATTTTGCTTTTGTGACCACAAGGTGGCAAACAAAGTACCAGAGTGAACGAAGGCCAACAGGTCAAACTTGATAATTAAAGTCATGTAGGTGTAGGAAAGCCAAAATGTAATATATATTCATATATAACCACAGGGGGTCAGGATGTTAAATTGGATAGAATAGAATAGATGTTTATTGCCATTTGCACAGGTACAGGACAGTACAGGTATATTGGAATTTTTGTGCGTTTCTCCCTGAGTCAGCTTCTACAAAAAAGTTAAAATTATATATAAAATAGAAAAGCATTATGAGAAAAAAAAGAGTAGAAAAGGAGAAATAAAATAAACTGTACAGAAGCTATCCACTGTATTAAAGCAAATATATAATACAAAACAAATAACAAAGGGGAACACTGTACAATGAAATGAAAATATAAACATGTTTTCTTGTCTCTAACTTTCTACATCTCTTATTGCACCTGAGGTTATTGCACACATATTTTTCACATAATATAATTGCCAGTTTTTTGTTTTTAAGGTTAATATTGCACACTTGTATTGTATGTCATGATGATGAGATTCATGTTCAAAATTGTGGAAAAAATTGGATTCACCCAAATAGTTTCCAAATATTAAAAAATCCATATCAAACATTGTTATGTTAAGCTATAAGTTAACAAAAAATGACTGTTTGTATGTTAATGTTGGCCTAAAAACTCCACAACAGTGTACTGTTTTAAATGTAGCCTATAGTGTTACCAATTTAAAAACCGTGTAATATAACCTTCAACAAATCTATCCTACATGAGGGTTATAATGTTTTAGAGGTGATAAAATTCAACAGTATCTTAAAAACTGAGGAGTTTTTTTCTAATATTTTTTCCACCCAAATGGATAGAATGTTTTTGTTTTTTTGTCAAAACACATTTAATCTTCGCTTCGCTACTTTCTATGAGGTAGCTCATTATAAAAACAACCAGTGCACCCATAGGCTACAACGAACATGGGATCCTTTATTTGTCGACGTCATTTCCCTCGACCCCAACACCACACAGCCTCCTCCACTTCCCCGCTGCGGGATCTGCGTCCAGCCTCCAGGAGTGTCAGGCCCCAGTGCAAAAAAAAAAAAAAAACAGTGCAAACCAGTACAATGAAGAGGATACATTTTTAGCACTATTTAACTCACACACAAAAAAAACGCGCAGTGTGGAAAAGGAAAATAACCCCCGTGGAGTGAAGTGGAAGCGTAACTTTAACCAGCGTTTCCGTCTTTCCAGATTTACCCAGATCCGAAGAACGACGGCGAGTGCCTGAGCAACATAAAGGAGTTTCTCAAGGGCTGCACATCGTTTCGCGTCGAGGTAAGTGCTGTTTCTCTTTTTTTCCCCCCATTCCACACTCCTCCACACAGACTACCACCTTGTTTTTAAACGAATAGTTTGCGTGTTTTTAGAGGAGGACACTGATACAATAAACAATTGGTTCACGGAGGGGACAGAGCCCCTGACAGAGGGAGGAGGAGGAGTAAACTACAAGCCGAGAACAATCACCCATCGCCCGGTTCAGAGAGATCGGCTTGTCCGGTCAGGCATTTGTACATTTCTGCCATTTTTGCAAGTTAAAATAGGCATATAGCATATTTGCCCGTTAAGTTTCCCTCAAATGACGCTTTGGGTTTTGTTTCCCCCCTTTAATTAATTCAGAGCTTTGTCCTCATGCTCATGCGTGGCTTTATTGTCACCACCAGATCACACCAGACTATGGTATAATCACTTTTTTGATGAAAGCAAATCACCCAATGCAGCTTTAAACAAACTAAGACCTTAGTTATGCAACATCTAGGTCCTGTTCTAACATGGTAATTGCGTATTATTATTATTATTATAAGGTGTAAGGTCTAAACATGTCCCAAGATTAAGTACCTCACCCTTGCAGGTCGATATAGAAATATTTGGGTATGTTGCTGTGATGTACTTCTAAAAAGCAGATAGAGGAGAGTGTGCAGTTTAGGGCTGTGTGCTGGCCAGTGCATAAAAGGCTCATTGAACCAGCCTGGTTTGACAATACAACACAGTGTTTCCCCAGTCCTCCTCTCCCTGTACTGAGTCTGCAGCCACAGAGCGAGACGGGAGATGGGGTGAGACAGCACTGTCATATATGAAGTGTTAGAAACATGCCCTTTAGTAGTCTCAGTTAACTGGAATAGCAGGAAAGTACAATGCATCTATTTTCAGTTTCATTAGAAAAGCTTGTTGTTTGTTTTGGGACTCAACACATGGACGTGTTTTGGCATCGGTGTGCAATAATCTTCAGTTTATTGCTGACAAATATTCAAATTCCCCGAGTTAAACACTCCCTAGTATTTTTCGATCCGTGCGTGCAAGAGTGCGTTTAACCCAATGTGAGTGTTTTTTTTTTTTAATATGCACTGGACTGGACGGAGCAGGATTACAGTATAGTTGGGGACATGGCAGTCTTCCCGCTCACCATCTGTACAGCAAAGATGGATCGTCTCCAGGGCCCAGAGCACTGCTGGCTCCGGCCCCAGGTATAGCCGCGGCTGCAGATTAAAGCAGCGGACGCTCACATGAGAAGGACAGACAGATAGAAGCTTTTTATTTATTTATTTTTTTAAGTCATGCGGTACCTCTTTTTTTTTTTTTTTTAATAAAGCCAAGCTGGATGTTTGGCTGAGCATCAACATGCTAGCCTAGCTGGGTCTGCATGTTTAGTGTGCATATTTTAACAGGTCTCATACATGTCATTTGGATAAGACAGCCAGTCTGACACTTCAGGCAGCTGCTGTTACTGACCTTTAACCTCTGATGCGTTTGACCACAGGAAGTGATCATTAGGGTTCCCATGACCCCAAACTGGTCTCTCAGGAGTAGTAACCTTACCCTGCTAGGTCTGCCCTGAGAGTAGTCACTGATCCATCTCTCTCCACTAATGGCACACTTTGAGCCCATTGCAATCAAAAATGTGTGTAGATAAAATAGAGTGAACATGTAGTGCTGTTCGTCATTTTTATCATCTACATTAACATCTATATTATCAATTCAATCAGTCATTTTTAATGAAAAAAAAAGTGAATACAGATGATACTATATTCTAAAGATGTGGAAAATTATTTGATTATTTAAACTGTTACTTAGCAACAACTGTTAATTATTAACTGACACAGCTCCTCTTGGTTATTATTAACTAATCAAGTTTTGGTTTGAATTAAAGAAATAGCTGTCTGATCAAATTCTCAGTTTTGAGTGTTTTTAAATCCATTTCAGTCAAAAAAAAACAGCATGGTCTTTTTTATTTATTATCATGCATCATTAGCTCAACAAAAGTTAGACCTATCCCATTTCCCCAAATAAAGTATGCCTCCGACACTGCTTCAAACGTAATATTTCAGGTAATTTATCCTGTGAAAAAAGCAAACAGCAGTGCAGTGTCAGCGTATAGTTTAAAGTCTGTAAGAGCTGATAAATATCAACATGTAAAACTGGAAAAAAAACACTATAAAGTATTGTTTTTGACATGAAAGTAAACTCCTGTAAAATAAGAAAGAGAGATTTATTAGATTTAAAAAAAAAAAAAAGTTCTATTATATTTCCTCTTTATTTTTTCATGTTTTAAAATGACTTTAACCTGAGCCATTCATGGTGAGAAATGTTCTGGAACCAACATTTCCAGCAGTGAAACAACAAAATGGGTAGTGACATGTCTTCCACAAGCAAGAATTACTCTGTTAAAGACATCTTTGTATTTGGATGCAAATCGTTTGCAGTTTGCAGTTTGGCTCATGTATGCAAACCGTTGTTATTAGCAGCACATCTGCACTGCAGCTTTCTTCATCTTATCTAATTGCTACACTGATAAAACACTTGGTATGTATGAACACTGGATTCAGAAATCCAGCGTTGGTTGGACTATCATCTTCACTTCGTTCTTGCCTATGGGGCTTTTTTCTGTCCGTGTCCTGAAACACATGATCAGTTGGATTGAGGCCCTGGTGGTGAATAACTTTGGCGGGTGGAGAATAATTCACTGTTTGGCTGTTAGAGAAAACTACTTGGCTGCCTTGTCTGCATGTGTAGGGTCATTGTGCTGATAAATAGTTCAAAAATTGGGGGACAATGTGTGTATAGACAGAAATGACATTGAGAAAACGCAGTCAACAAAACATGCATGTAAACACCTTCAATCACCCTGACAATGACCGCTGGAATGTGTTTTTATTTCAACCAAATATCACTTGTTAAAGGCTTTATATGCGATTTTTTTTTTTGATCCAGCAGATGTCGCCCTTGAGCACCAGCATGAAACCAAAACAACTCGCGCTGCATTGTTGTGTTAGCATGCTGATGCTAGCGATCTTTATTATGCTGGTATCTTCACACTGCATTTAAATTTACCTGAAATGAGCGTGATCTAGAAACACAGTTAAGCAGTGAGTACAGTATGTTATTCTTCTTTTCTCTAGTCCCTCAATTAAACAACTTTTATACACGAGGGGAGGAGTCAGCCGGCCGTCCGGGCGATGTAAACAAAGTGAAGATAGGACTCTGAAAACTCTGAAAACATCACAGACAGTGGGACTCGGGTGTTACACCCATTGTAGACAGTCATGACTCACAGAGTTATTTTCAGAGGAGATACTTGATTTATATTATAATTAAGTGTGAAAAATCACATAGAAAGACTTTAAATACAAACTGTATGTATTCTAAAATCTCGTACTCTGACGCTAACTATGGGTGGATCTGCAGAGTATGCAACAGATTTGTAACCATATCCCATTACATGCTGTGTCCATGGAGTGTTAGGTTGTAATATCCTGTGTGACTGATAAACACTCATTTCTTCAATCACAGCTAATGTGAAGTAACTCACCTTGTTGGTGTTGTAGCCTGATGAGTCACAGAGGGGTGTTGCACTATTGTCTTTGGTGTGCTTGGAGGGATCATTACCTGACTCCGATGCTGAGGCTAAGCAGACATGTCGAAGCATGTTGTGTTAGTAGTTAACTCCATGAATGCATGTTTGATTTGTATCTGTAAAAACTTTCGATTTTGTAGATACTGTGGGTGACACGTGTAGTACAACAAACACTGAACGTTGGTGGTAGTTTTAGTCCAAGTAAAAGTAAAGTTGGGTGAGGGAGAGTGTACTTTCAGATGGATGCTCCCCTAAGGACAGCAAGCCATCCAGTAGCCTGTACATACTCACACACACACACACACACACACACACACACACTCACTCTCTCGTTCCAATGACAAAACTCTCTCAAACACATTCATTCACATATTCCCTCGGGACATATCTGTAATCAGAGCGGAAGATAAAAGAGACTCATATCTCACAGTCACTCATCCTCAATACGACTGAAGCGAGAGTAACTAATCATCGGAAGCCGTCACACAGGAAGCGCGAGGACAACCGTCGTCGTCAACAGAGATACAATCACTGCCATTCATACTCCCAGAGACGAGACACTGATCGTGATACACCCAGGGCTTACTCTTTTACTGCAGTGGAAGTCATTGATGCATTGTAAATGTCTCGTTCCTGAAATATTTAGACTTCACTGCCCTGTCCATGTCATGCAATGACACGTTTCCACTAGCATTTATATCATCATGAATCAATGAACCGTCTGCTTAAAGGCTTTATATGTGATTTTGCACTCTTAAATATAATATAAATCAAGTATATCCTCTGAAAATAACTCTGTGAGTCATGACTGTCTACAATGGGTGTAACACCCGAGTCCCACTGTCTGTGATGTTTTCAGAGTTTTCAGAGTCCTATCTTCACTTTGTTTACATCGCCCGGACGGCCGGCTGACTCCTCCCCTCGTGTATAAAAGTTGTTTAATTGAGGGACTAGAGAAAAGAAGAATAACATACTGTACTCACTGCTTAACTGTGTTTCTAGATCACGCTCATTTCAGGTCAATTTACATGCAGTGTGAAGATACCAGCATAATAAAGATCGCTAGCATTAGCATGCTAACACAACAATGCAGCGCGAGTTGTTTTGGTTTCATGCTGGTGCTCAAGGGCGACATCTGCTGGATCAAAAAAAATCGCATATAAAGCCTTTAATGACAAGCGTGAGACCATATTTGTAACCAAGGATGCAGGGATTCATTACTTCATGTGGTCAAATGTGATTAAATGTAATGGATATAATGTGAAGTGAATCTAACTAGGCCTGCACATTATTGAGAAAATATGCAATTTGCAGAAACATTATTCATTATTGATAACAATATGAGGTGAGACAACTAAGTTAAGTATGCATATTTGCTTTATTTCAGTTCTTTGAGTGCTATCATGTTTCTCCTGAATTCCAAATAAATCCAAAGAAGCTGATAGCTAGGTAGGGTTTTGACTCTTGGGAAGACGCAGTGCGTTGAAATGTTAGTCCACCTAAATAAATTTGCCTGAGGTGGTTTGTGGGCTCCAGTACTTTGTTTGGATCCTGTCTGAGAGAGGGAGTCCACTGAATCATTTTGAACGTCTAAGGTCCTTCTCTTAGAAAAAAATCAGTACTTTTCTAAAGCTACTCACCATTGCAGGTTGTAGGAAACACAATGTAAACCTATTGCTGGGTTTCTCTTTGCTGATGCTGTCATGTATAAGTCTGTTCAGTGTTCTTGAAATGAAAACTATCTCCTGCAAATGGACAGGCTTACTTACCACTCAGTGAATATTGTGGGAACTCAATACACATCTGAAGTAAGAATGTGTAAGCATAGAGCCATTATTGACTTCATCTGATCTGATAACAGCAGTGACATCTGTTATAAAGAATCCTAAAGACAGTCAGTTTTTTTTTAAATAATGGTCTGCTGCTATGAACATATGTTATTGTTAAATGAGAAACGCACAGATAACTTTGTGTTTGTTCAGCAGAGGAATACTAAACGTCTGATAGGCACAAGCAGCTCTCTGAACTCACATCTTTTTCTTAAATCTGGATCAAACTTAATAAATGATACATTTAGAGGATTAGCCATCCAACCAGACATACCAACTCTTAGTAGGTGAAAGATGGAGTTATTTTGTGCTTCAGACACATAAGTTCAATAAAAATAACGACTGAAGTTCAATAAAAATAACGACTGAAGTTCAATAAAAATGACTACTGAAGAACTCAGAAAGCACCAGTCCCCAAACTGTGAGGGTGTTAAACTGGCATGGGGGAAAAAAAGAGGCCTGGGTGAAAGTAGTGCAGTCATGGTACTCCATAGCCCGAGACATGCAGACAAGCTTAATTTCATTTAAAATATTGAACAAGAATTTAATGGACTCCTTCAAAAATGTCACGGATGGGGCTGAGGGAGGAGGATAGTTGCTGGAGATGCAGAACAGGTCACACTGATCCATATGCTACATGAATGTGCGATGGAACGAGACTTTTGGCCAGACATTGTCAAATGTATCATAACAGTAAATCAAAAATAGAGTTAATTCAGTGTCCAGCATCATGTATATTAGGTATTTTTTACCAGTGTATGCTAACCTATCCTCAAAGGTTTGTCCTTGGGGGAAATGGACCCTCATAACGGGGTGCAGGATTGTGCTGAGGCTTTGGTAGTCCAGAGATAAAGTCAGCTTTAGGGGGTGGAGAGATGACTTCTTTTGAACAGCTGATCAACAAAATGAACAATAACACAAAAATGTTTTCAGACATATTTGGGGTCCCTATCTGGAAATGATTGGGTAGAGATGATCATCATGATGATGTTGTGCTGTTTAGTTGCTTTTCTGTACATCATGTAACAACATGTGCTCCGTGAATGATTAGGAGATAGAACTTTGAGATGTGACAGTTGGTGAAAGTACTGCAAAGATTCATATTTGTGTCTTTTCTTGTTTGTTTTCTTTCCTGAGCTTGTTGTTTGTCTTGATTTGAATTGTAGCCTCTAGATAATCTGTGGATTTGTGGTGAATGTTAATGCTGAAAAACCCAATTGAAAGCATAATCACAGTAAAAACTACTCGATCATTGGTAAGTGTTGTATTCCTTAGGGACTATTTTCAACAGCATATACTGTATATGGACATTGAGTCCATGAATAAGTTGGGTTTTTTTTTACACCAAGAGGGTTTATGTGAGACTGACATGGAGATAAAAATGACTGGAGTAATTTGCATGACTGAACATTTTAACCATTGAAGTGATTAGCTCCCTCCTCTTAATAGCTTTTAGGCAACAGCAGAAAGTGGCAGTATACATAGAGAGCATGACTTGCTCAAGTGCACCTCGACAGTGCTCAGGAAGTGAACTGGCACCTCTCCAGCTACCGGCCCAATTTCAAGACTTGGTCCACTCCAGGACTTGAACCTGGTGACCCTTCGGTTCCCAACACAAGTCCCTATACACTGAACTACTGCCTCCCTGAAAATGTTTAAATTATATTAGTGTATATATTTTATTCTTCTTATTGCTCTTTTATTGATTTTATTTATTGATGATGATGTATAAATATTTTTAGTGTTGACTGGGTAGTTCAAGAAACAAATTCAGAATTTGACTGAACTTGGTTGGCATTTTTATCAGTTTCAAGGCTTGATTAAATAATTAATTGCAAGTTAAACCAAAAAATATGAAAGATGAATGAATAATAAGAATAATTCAAAGTTCCAATCATCTATTTTTAACATTTAACACTTGTGTTCCCCTGCTCTTCAAGAAGCGGTCAGGGAACTCAGCTTCTGTTTGTATCTTTTGTAATGAAGATCATTTAACTAGCATCTCAGAAAGCTTTAAAAAAAAGTGTCTCTTTGAAGCTGCTGCAGGTTTGTGTTTGTGCTGAGCGTGTGTGTTTCGCCCACTGCTTCTGTCAAAGGTAGCGAGCGTTATCGATTGGCTGCTCGGTGCTGGTGGTGTAGCTGAGTGATGAAACAGTTCTGCTTCACAGGAATTAGTGATTAGCTCTAAAAGAGAAATGCACTTTCTGATGACTTTCCTGTGTCTGTCTCTATCTCTCTCTCTCTCGCTCTCTCTCTCTCCTCTCTCTCTCAGCCGTTTGAGGCCAGTGACCTGCTGCTGGGGCTGAACTTCACCAAGGTGCTCACCAGTCTGGTTGCTTTAAATAAAGTGACTGCAGGTCAGTAAAAACACATGTTCAATGTGTGTGTTTTATGATGCATGTGGGTGGAATCTTTTTTTTAATGAAAGACAGGCAGGTAGCTTTGAGCGTGTAGGTACTGTCATGCAAGAAACCAGCTCAGGTGTATTTATATTTTTTGCCCTTTCTGTGCAGATATCGGCGTGGGCAGCGATTCGGTGTGTGCCCGCCATTCTTCAGCCCATCGCATCAAGTCGTTTGAGTCTCTGTCCTCTCAGGCCTCTCTGGGCCGATCCTCCAAGCTGCTGCAGAACCAGTTTCGCAGTCTGGTAAGGCTTTTGACATATAGAGTATTTGAAAATAAAACAAAAGCCCGTTTACAGTTTGTATGAAATACTTTGTGATTACGATCATAAGGGTCTTCACCATTAGCCCCGCCCACTTCACTTCAGGCGTTGCCTTTTCATGGAAACTTTCAGCACCCAAGGCAGTTTTTGTACAACCATTCAGACCAGTGAAACATGAATAATGATAAAGAGCAATGAGATTTATAGTCACATAGTAATTCATTGGTCCATAAACCAGGAATAATGCAATTTTCTGGATGACAGAGCGGGAGCTGTCTTACACCAGCATGTTTCTCCAAAATATAATTAATTTAATCTCCCTTCTTCGTTCCACTTGGTGTCTTTACGGAAGTCTGTCTGCAAGATCTAATTATTAGTCGTGTTTCAATTCAACTGGAGTGCACAGTTTAAAGAAAGATGTTCACAGCCAGGTGTTTAGGTAATGCATGGCTGTGACCCGAAAGTAAAAAGAAGAAGGAAAAACAATATAAATGGCCTTCTTATCATTTACCACAGAAAAATGAACAGTGGTCCTGAGAATTAAGCTTCTATTGTGCAAGAATGAAATGTATATTTTCACGTCTAATGGTATTGGCACTGTTCATGGTTTATTTACATGTAGAGAAGTAAGTGAATGCAAGTGCCTGTCAATATGCACAAGACAAAAACCTCATATGAAAGCATGACTAAATATGTGAAAAACCTACAAGAAAGTCAAACTTGAAGTCTTTCTATGTGATTTTTCACACTTAAATATAATATAAATCAAGTATATCCTCTGAAAATAACTCTGTGAGTCATGACTGTCTACAATGGGTGTAACACCCGAGTCCCACTGTCTGTGATGTTTTCAGAGTTTTCAGAGTCCTATCTTCAGTTTGTTTACATCGCCCGGACGGCCGGCTGACTCCTCCCCTCGTGTATAAAAGTTGTTTAATTGAGGGACTAGAGAAAAGAAGAATAACATACTGTACTCACTGCTTAACTGTGTTTCTAGATCACGCTCATTTCAGGTAAATTTACATGCAGTGTGAAGATACCAGCATAATAAAGATATACATATATACATATAAAGCCTTTAATTGTAGGGTAATTTTCTACAGATACACTTTTAAAATTTTGGTGTAAATTGTCTTTAGGTCCTGACAGACATTAATAACTTGTGTTCTCTGAAAATGGAATAAAGAAAATCTGTCATCTGTAGCAGTTTGTAAGTCTCTAAAAACTTTGACCCAAGTCTGCCACGAGGTACCAATCTGATGAACCAATCAGAAGCCTCCCTGTCTCCCTGCTCGTTCTCTACCCCTTGTGTGCACGAGCCCACACTCAAAGCATGAGCTGAGGTCCGCTTCTGGACCAGTGGTGCCTGTACCTTTAATTGAGGGGGCGTGGCTTTTGATGGAGCACAGAGGGGAGGGGGTGGGTGCAGACGGAGCACTGAGGGAATTTTTTGACCATCCCTGTCTTTAATGTTTACAGGTTATGGTTTAAATGGTGCAGACCAAAGTGACAGTGGAATTGTACCTTTGTGTGGAAACATTTCTGCAGCATGGAAAGATTTCTGAGTAATAGTTGTTACAAAATATTTATTTCCATATATTTCACAACGTGGTCAAATGGATGTTTGGTGTCAAAGCACTTCTCGATGACACGTGTCCTTCTTTGCTAACTTAACTCACAATTCTTCAGACAAAATCAAAACATTGTCACCAGTGTCTCATCTCCTGTCTCCGCTCTCTCTCTCTCTCCCTCTGCCTGACCCCACCTGATGTCACGTCACAGGACATGTCAGAAAACAGCGGTCAGCAGCTGCTGGTGAAGGCACGTTTTAACTTCCAGCAGACCAACGAGGATGAGCTCACCTTCGATAAGGGAGACATCATCAGCGTGACTCGGCAGGAGGACGGCGGCTGGTGGGAAGGGCTGCTCAACGGAAGGAGCGGGTGGTTTCCTAGCAACTATGTTCGCGAGGTCAAAGGCTCTGGTGAGTAGCTCGACTACCTTTTTGGAGATATTTTTAAACAGTAGCACAATTGTGTTGTGACTCATACGCCCTTTATTTTATTTGTTTTGACCAACTAGCAATTTTGGTGGGATAGATCGTGTGTAGAACTCAATTGAGCCTGAAAGGAAATTCACGTGTCAGGTTGTTCTTACATCACAGTACGAATAGAGCTACACAAAATTCAATTTGATTGAAAATAATAACACCAGAGCCAGGTCTTCTATCTTTTATATTACATAATTCAAAAGACTTCCTCCTTTATGAGTGAAAGGATTACAGAGCAGCGAGTAAGATTTCAACATTTTCCAAACACTTGTTTCTTTCCCAGACAGAAAAATCAAAACAAACATTACTCTGAATCGCAGTTTTCTTTGTCGTCCCCGTCCCATCTGGCCTTGGGACAGTCACACTGTCGCACAGCTGTTGCCTCTGTAGGCCCGCTGTGGTCTGTTGTTTCTGTGTTTTGTGAAACATGTGGCAGAAGGTGGCAGCTTAAAATGACTAACGTCGTCTATTCAATACTCCTACATGAGTTGGTCAGTTTGTGATGAGTGTAAATACAAGTGGTCGGGACATTTGTCAAGAAAGACCCTCATATAATTCTTATTGGCACCTGGCTGATGGTGATATTATATTTTTAAGCTCAGCAGAACAATCCTCACAGGGTCGTATAAAACAAAAAAAACACATAAGGCAGCGGGAGAGAATTAAATTGTTGATACAATGCAATCCATGTATGAAACATATTAAGTATATTTGAGACAGTAACATGTATAAAATTAACTTGTAATATATATAGAATTACTTTATTGACCCCAAACTGGGAAATTGTGGATATAGGGAGGAAAAAATGTACAGAAAGAACTTTGTGCACTGATTTGAATATTCTGTTTCTGAAACAAGTGTCCCCTAAGTCTGGCACTCTGAAGAGCCCACCTAAAGGCTTTGACACTTCTGCAATCAGCAAGACGTACTATAACCTGGTAAGGATAATCCTTCACTCTGTCTTTTCTTCCCTTTCTAGTTGCTCAACTTTCATTTCTGTATCTGTGTCTTTTCCTTTCTTCACCAACAACATGTGTTTTATTAGTGCCCTGTTTTTTTTATCAAGGCTTGTATCTATGCTTTTACAATTTACTATTTATCCATTTTGTGAATCCCAAAAATCCAAAAAGCAATTCCATGAAGAACCAGGTTTAAAATCTGGCTGTTTCTTTTTTTTTTTTTTTAACCATAACCTCTACAACCTCTATTGCTCTGTGCTCTGTAACCAATATGTCTGAGGACAGTTGTTTGTTATTCTGTCATCACAGCTGCTCTTTCGCCATCTCCCTGCCACACAATGCAGCACACATCTTTTACATTTCTGCTTTAAATTAAAAATGATGATAATGTGTATTTGAAATGATATTATTTTCTTGTCCATTTACAAGTATATCTGTGATGTGTGTGTTTATACTAATGACATCAACTACTCACAATGTTACATCGTCAGTCAGATAGCATATCTCACACTTTTATTATCTAAAAAATGTAGATATGAATATGTGAATGCACTGATCAGTGATGTCGCTCACACTCTAAACCTGCCCCATGTTTATTCTATCTGCAGGTCAACTTGTAGCTCTGAGGTGTTTATATTTATTTTTAAAAATCATTTATTTTAATAGTACATTTAATAATTATTTATGGACTCCTCATCTGTGACACCAAATCATGAAGTGCACAAACTGAAATAGTGATCTGAGGGTGTTTATTCTGAAGACTTTTTTAAAATGGAAGCTGTTCCTTTCTATTACAGGTGTTGCAGAATATTTTAGAAACAGAGACAGAATACTCCAAGGATCTTCAGAGCCTCTTGACAAACTACCTACGACCTCTTCAGGGCATTGATAAGTACGTCTCATTTGCCCATAAAGCTCGATGAGACCTGATCTAGGTTATTTAACAATGATTGTTACATACCAGGAGCTTCGGTTCAATTTGATTTTTATTGACTGTAAAACAACAGATCTCAGCCTGACTTTCTTCTAGATGACCAACTTGTATGTTGTCGTTTAATGTTCTTTTGCCCTCTCATCTATTCCACCAGATTGAGCAGCGTGGATGTGGCTCTTATTCTGGGAAACCTTGAGGAGATCAGCACCTTCCAGCAGATGCTTGTCCAATCGCTGGAGGAGTGCACCAAGTAAGTCCCTTTCCCAGAAACACATCACCACTGCAGTATCCTCACTGTTTAATAATAAGCAGAGGGACATCTAGTGGTGGGATGACTGTACTGAGGGGATGTTAAATTAAATCATAGACTAGGGAATAAATCAGATGTTGTTCTTTTAGTCTAAAGCAAGCTACTTTTCCATATACTTCAGTTTTCTTGTCTGGGCTGAGGTCAAATCCTGATGTTAGACTAGATGTCAAATCCCAACATTAAACCCAACAAACCCAAACATTAATGTATTGTAAAATCCTGACGTTAAATTGATCTCAAACCAAAGTGTTGAATTGACGTCAAATCCAAAGAGCTGTCTTCAAATCTCAACGTTGAATTGAAACCAAATCAAGACATTGAACTGATGTCAATTCCTGAAGTTGAACTGATCTTTAATCCAGATGATTTGCTGCCTTCAAATCAATTCCATTTTGAACTGACATCAAGTTCAGACGTTCAATTGACGTAAAATCCCAACGACGTGATCTAATCAAATCCAGATTTTTAAAATTTAAATTTAAATTAAATCCTGATGTTTAATTGACATCAAATCACAAAGTTGGGCTGATGAAAAACGTTGAAATCACATAAAACCCTGATGTTGGCTTGACCTCAAATCTTGACTTTGGGCTGAAGTCATTTCTCTATGTTGAATGATGTTGATCCCGATGTCGGGCTGACGTCTTACCCAAACGTTGAATTGATGTCAAATTACGATGTTGGGTTGATGTCAAATACAATGTTTAATCGATGGATAATCTTGACGTTGTGGGTGGTCAAGTCCTGACATTGAATTCACATTAAATCCCATTGTTGGGCTGGTGTCAAATCTCAATGTTTAATTGACTTTACATCCTGGCATCTTTGTATCATTTTATCATATTGTGTTTTTCTTCAGGCTTCCAGAGAGCCAGCAAAGAGTCGGAGGCTTCTTCCTCAACCTCATAACACAAATGAAGGCTCTTTATGCAGGTTACTGCTCCAACCATCCCTCTGCTGTCAATGTACTAACCCAGCACGGGTAAGTTTACACAACGTCTAAACATTTAGATTTATGTCTCCAACACATTATCATGCAGCAGGTCTGAGGAAATAAGAAGGGGGTTAAGTTAAAAAGGGAAACAGCTGCAACAGAAAAGGAAAAAGAACTGTATTATATATTCTATTGTTAAAGTTATTGTTGAAGCGGTTTGTTTGCTGGTTTTGGCAGCTATTGTGGATTTCCAAACACAAAGTGAGGACTCTGCAGTCAGCTGTTTATCAACACAAGTGCAGCTGTGGCAGTTTTATTTTTACAGAAATAATTGGAAAACGGCTCTAAGACGGGGAAGGAAAGACGCTTTTTTTTTAAACCAATTAACCGTGCGTAGAAGGGGTAAAGGTCTAAATTGTGGACCTAATGTAGCATCAATATAAACTGCATATTAGATAGAATGGTTTAGATAGAATGTTTATGATGGTGTGACTCATTGCAGCGCTGTTGTATGAAAAGCTGTTTACTATGCTGAGTGTCTAATAATCGGTGTTGTAAGAGTTTATTTGAATCAGTACAGTTTTCTTGTTATTTGGTTTATGCTCTTTTTTTGGGTTTTTTTTTGGACATTTTATGCGTTTTATTAGAGATAGATAGGAGAACGACATGATGGAAAAGAGCTACAGGTCGGCTTTGAACCCGGGCCGCCTGTTTGGAGGATCAGGGCCTCCTTACATGGGGTGCACGCACTAACCACTGCGCTACCAGCGGCCCATTTGGTTTATGTTTGAATTATTTTTGACATTTTGTCGAGAAGTTGAATGTCAGTTTAAAGAGTGTTACGCCCCGACTAGAGGAGGTCAAGGCACAACATGAATAAAGCGCCAAATCCCTCACTTCCCAAGCAGCCATGAAGGACTATCTAATGTTTTTTTTTTTTTACCAGAAAAAAAGTCCAGCTTGAAAAAAATCATAATAAAGGAATATTGTACAGCAACATATTAGTGAAAATAAGAATAAGCTTCAGGGTGAATCGGTGCCAAACACAACAAACAAAACCGAGTCTAACTGATAATGAACCAAACCTGATAAATCAAGGAAAACAAACTACAACCAACTTACATCCCTAACTAACCAAAAGCATGATTACCTGACGATTCAACCCTACAACACTTAACACAAAACAAACTAAGAACAGCCTAACAAAGGAAACGTGGCATGGCTGGTTGGAAGGTGAGGACGATGGGGTTCCCTCTGCGCTGCAGCGATGTCATCTCCCTGCTTTAACAGTGGGGAAGACCTCTTCATAGTCATAATCATTTTATTTATTTATTTTTCATTTTTATACATATTTTTTTTTAATTCTTATTGGTGTGCATTAGTCTCTCAATGATTTTATAAACTACTTTTTCGTCAATAACTTTTCTGCACTCTTGTAGAGCACTTTGAACTGCAATTTAATTTGTCTGAGAGGTGCTATATAAATAAAGTTTGATTGATTGATCGTTAGTGGGAGCGGGTAACTGACAGGCTTGATGTTCAGTGTTTCTATGAATGTTATTTTTGAATGAAAGTGAGTTACATTCTGTCTCTCTCTTTTCTCTCCTCTTGTAGTGACGTATTGGGGGAGTTCATGGAGGGGAGGGGTGCAGTCAGTCCTGGGATCCTCACCCTGACTACGGGCCTCAGTAAACCCTTCATGAGACTCGACAAGTACCCCACTTTACTCAAAGAGCTGGAGAGGCACATGGAGGTGTGCATCCAAACATCCGTCTAAAGCATGTTGTGTTGTCATGATGCGTCTTTCAATAACCAACATTGTTTCATTATTTTCCTCCAGGAGAGTCATCCGGATCGGCCAGACATACAGAAGTGCATGGCATCTTTCAAAAACCTATCTGTAAGCGGGTCTCTCTTCCTCTCCCGTCTGTTGTAGTATGAATGAAAGTCTCCTATCAAATAAGATAAATGATGGCACAGGGGTTAAATAGTTGTTTGCATTCGTTGTGCCAGTCTCAGTGCCAGGAGGTGCGGAAGCGCAAGGAACTGGAGCTGCAGATTCTCACTGAGGCCATCCGGCTGTGGGAGGGGGACGACATTAAGACCCTGGGCTCTGTGCTCTACATGAGCCAGGTCTTAGTCCAGAGTCCTGGTTCAGAGGTATGAGCTTCACCCACCAACACCATGATCACTGTATTGTCCCAGAAACTGTTGCTAATATCAGATCCACTAGAAGTTATTTATTTGGGGCTTCCAAACGTTATATCTCCTGAACCCCCAAAATAAGGGGGCCAGAGTACGGGGACCCCCACTGTCCCTGAAGGAGGTTAAGGCATATAATGCAGCGCAGCGCCACACACACGCACTAATGGGTCTATCCAAACATTAGTAACACTTTTTGAAAGGCATCTCACGACCCTCCTCTTGGTCACCCGCAACATCTAAGGAAAGGGGCCTCAAGGGTGGAAACAATAAAAAGTAAAGACAAAAAAAGGAAGTGAAGAATATTCATGTGATTTGAAATATTAAGCGCTGAAAATGTTTCCAAAATAATCCAGATAATCAGCATTTATTACATCCAACATGTATCGTTTACAATGCGAAAGTCTTGTTACATCTGCTTTAAAAAAAAAAAAAAAAAAAAACTGGCCCAGTGATCGAATTGCTCTGCTCTCGACCTTTACTGTCTGCTCAGCATTAAGGAGGAGAAGACCAACTACAGAGTGTTTTTCAAGGTTTTCTACTCACTGAATTAACTTCTGGATGTTTTTAAGATGAGAAATTGATGTTGGAGACATATGGTGCATATTTACAACGTCAAATTGAAAATGTTATCTGCTGTTTTCAAAGTTGACTAGTCACACCTCCTTTCCTACAGTGACACAGATCACATCAGCCATATCCATTATCTTAAACATTTTTATCTGAATGTTTTCCCTTTGTCACATATTTTTAATGATAGGGTGTTGCTGCTCTGGCTGGTACTTAAATATTTTCTATTGTTTTGATTTTTTTTATCCTTTCTCTGTTTCTTTTTTCTAATTCTTAAACCTTTTCCTGTTCATTAGGAAAAGAGTGAGCGTTACCTCATGCTCTTCCCTCACGTCCTCCTCATGTTGTCCGCCAGCCCCAGGATGAGCGGCTTCATATTCCAGGTCAGAAAATAAACCTTTCCTACGTTTAGTCCCCCCCCCCTCCAGTGTTGAACATTAGCATTCATTTCATGAAAAGCCTTTTCTCTGTTACGTCTTAATTCTAATGCGAGTTTATCACCCATGAAGGGAAAATTGCCCCTGGCCAGCATGACGGTGACCAAACTTGAAGACTGTGAAGCTCATAAAAACGCCTTTGAGCTAAACGGTAAGGCTCTTAATGAGTAAGATGTTGAGTGTGATTCATTTACAGATGATTCCTTCACCGACATCATCATCTTTGTCCCTGCAGGTACAATGTTTGACCGTCTTACAGTGGTGTGTACCAACCAGCAGGACCTGCAGGACTGGTCTGAACACCTGCCCCGACAGATCAAGCACACTGCGGCCACAGCGCCCAGCCACAAACCGCTCACTGTTCCCTGCCACACGGTCAGGATCTAATATTTCATTCCCTAATACAGATCATCTGTCTAATCAGTGGTTCCCAGTGCAAAGTTAAAGGGGTCATATTCTGCTTTTGCTGGTTTTATATGCTCTTTAGTGTTTTTCCAAGTGTCCTGTGCATGTTTAGACACATCTATGTGCAAAAATACAAAGTCCACGGAAACGCAACTTCTCCTACGTCCTCCTGTTAGCTGTAGCATTAGCTGCGTGTAACGCTCGGTTCTAGCCCCCCTCGAAAAAAATTTGCCAGTGTGACGTCTTGTCAGTGTGAGATCACTGATCTAAGCCCATTGGCTCGTTGTGGTAAGCCCAGCAGCTCATGTTGCACGCCCGTTAACTTCTGTAGCACGCCCACGATATGCCGTAGCCTGCGGTAGCACAGTAGTGCTAAGGTGCTAATGTTTATGCTCCCCTCGGAGCCAAAGTGGCTGCATTCCCAATATGGTAAAATGGGCGTGACATTTCCAGGAACCGTGCTGAGCGACTGACCAATTACGGCAGAGCCGACAGGCCGACCAATCAGATCAGACTTGGCACACGTGGGGACTCTGAACGTGGGCACTTCAGAGCCTTAGAGAGAGAGTCAGAAGAGAGCCGGTGCATGGAGCGGCAGTTCATGAAAACAGACACTTTTTTAGAACTTTAGCTATTGTGAACATAATTTAGTAGGTACATGGATTAAATATATGAACCCCAAAAAGGGCATAATATGACCTCTTTAACACTCTGACACGCCCTGTGTCCACCTAGCATTTTTTTCTGAGTTTCAGTGTCTTTTTTGTTTTCAATGAGGAGAGAGCGTTTGCAGCAGAAAGCGGCTGCCTGTAGAAAAAGCACAGCCTTTATTTATTCAAATAAAAACTGATGAGAGTGGCTTTAACAAGCATCTGAGGAAAAAAAAAAGTTTTTCTAAAGAGCACAAAACAGGAAGTTTAGATAGACGTTTATATCCTGCAAGTAGCGACCAGTGATATCTTTGTGTACGTTTTGAAAATATTTTATTAGGGTTTAATGTCCTTCTCTGCTGTCATGTTCAAAAACTGTCATCATAGCTTTGGACTGAGTTACTCTACCAACAAACACATTTCACCCTGACACTCTGGACACTTTACATTGTTTACATTCTCTTATATTTTGTATATTCAAATATTTATTTTTTTAATTTGACATTATATTTCTATATTACTGTATTTACGTGTTTTAGTAATTGAGTGTTATTGCATGGCCTTGCGGAACAGTCTTTACATTTCACTGCACATCTGTATGAGCACGTGACAAATACAAATCTTGAATCTTGAATCTTGAATTTCAACGGAGGGGCTGACCATTCTTTCTTTGATAGAAGTTGTAAAATCTGTTGTTTTGTGTTTCGTTCCTCAGCTCCCATCTCACCCTCTCACACCGTCCCGGCACGCTGAGGGGAGAGCCATGACGGTGGCTCCCACTTACCACACCCTGCCTCACCCCTCCTCCCACGGAACGTCTCACAGCACCTTGATGTGGGGCCCACTGGAACCACCCAACACCCCCAAACCCTGGAGCCTGAGCTGTTTGCGACCTGCACCTCCTCTACGCCCCTCTGCTGCCCTCTGCTACAAGGAGGTGAGGGACTGTCTGTTCATGTACTCATGGTCTCCTCAACATGTTTTTTCTATGTCTGGAACTCCTCATTATTATACTGTTGTCTCTTTGTTTTCTGCTTTTCCCTTCCTCTTTCAGGATCTCAGTAAAAGCCCTAAGAGTGTAAAGAAGCTCCTTCCCAAGCGCAAGCCCGAGAGGAAACAGTCTGAGGAAGAATTTGCGTTGAGAAAGAGTACGTTTCTGAACTGTCTAGAGTTTCATTGGATTTCGATTCATCAGTTTTTTTTCTTTCTGAAAGAGAAATGTCTTATTTGCATCTTTATCAAGAGCTGCATGAGAGAACCAATAACAACAGAACCCCCCCCCCCCTCTTCTTGCTAAGTTTAGCGAGGCCTACTGGTCGTAGCTTCTTACTTAATAAACAGCCAAGGCTCTGCTACCACATTTCCACAGTCTAGGGAAAGAGACCTGTTTTTTAGGCCCCGCCCCCCTGAGAAGATGAGACTTGCAAGCTGTTTGTTCTTTTAAAAAACGGATTTGAAACCTTTCACAAGGTTTATTGGCTGTATTTGCTCTTTCTCTTAAACCCATCACTTTTTTATTTTTTTATTTTTTATTAGGTGCAATAGAGTGACAAAATTGGTGATATATAAATAACAAATAAGGCAAAATACAGTAAAAAAAATAAAGACAGCAAAATACTAAGACATCAATATACACACATCAGACTACGACCAGCAAAACTACAAAACTATATGAAATACCTAAGAAAGGATACAAGAAGTGATAGAGAGAAGGTGCTTGTAAGGGGGACTTGAGAGGTAGAAGTTAACTAATTTATTTACTATAACCTTCTCATAACTCTTATTTCATTAATTATTTTAGAATTTTAATATTTGTATCAACCGGTTTTTTGCAGTCTTGTATAAAAACAAAACTTGTAAATTCTATCATCGTCCACTATTTGAATCGTATCTCTTTTATCGCTATTACATCACGACTTTGTTTCAAAATGTGTTTAATCATCTCACTCTCAGCAAGAAGATAAATAAGCATACCTCCCAAAATGTGCAGGTTTTTTTTTTTTTGGTCTTTTGTGTGCTTATTGTGTATAGCAGTAGGAAGCAGAGGTTAGACAGCTGAAGTAAATAATCATGTATACTCATATTTCCCCCTTTCTTTCAACTCCTCTTTGTGCAGGCACAGCTGCTCTGGAAGAAGATGCCCAGATCCTGAAAGTTATCGAGGCATACTGCACCAGCGCGAAAACCAGGCAGACTCTGAACTCCAGTAAGAAAATACAAAAACCTTACATGTGCATGCAAACAAGACCGGAGATGTGAAGAAGAGAAGCTTTCTGTCTTCATACTGCTATACCTGTTATTCTGTAACTCAAAGCCTGTCTTTAACACTGGTGTTCTGAACTGATCTTTCTAACAGTATCTTCTCTTCTGTCTCTCTCCTCCATCCCTCACTTTTTTTGGCATTGCTGTGGTTTACCTTGTGTTCCTTCTTTTCCATCATGATTTATTTTCACCATACATATATCAAATTACCGCATTATCCCATCCTGCTTCTCTCATTGGTTATTATTATTTTCCATCTGTTACGGCTGCATATACAACCCCCGCTGCACTGCCACTCTTTTTTTTTTTTTTTTTCACCTCACCCAACCTTTTCACCATCTGCATTCGAAAAAACTCCGTCTTGCCCAAAAACCAGCCTGGCAGGGCACTGACCTGATGCACAACCACGTGCTGGCAGATGCAGACCGGTCCAGCGTGGACCCACCGGGCCGCCGTAGCAGCGTTTCGAGGCCTGAGTTGTCCTCTGACTTGTCAGAGGACTCTGACTATGACTCCATCTGGACCACCCACAGTTACAGGATGGGTTCAGTGCCGCGCAAGAGTTGCATCTCTCACCAGAACTAAAGAACGTACAGTACTGCCTCGCTGTGCTGTAATGTAATGTACAAGCGGGCTTACCTCTTTTACCTTCAATGTATGAAAAGAAACTAGATTTTTTTATTTATCTATTTATTTTCTATTATATTTGTTGATTTTTTTTTTTTGTTAACTTATTCGGTTTATTTATTTTTAGACTGTTTGTTTTAAGATGTTTTAAGCATCTCCCTGTTGCCTTGCCACTTTCCCTTTTATGTGCCTCCTCTCTTCATGTAGTTGTCATGCAGTAGGTGTTCAGTATTTATTGTTAATTTATCATGAATGTGACCACTCCCCTTGTTTGACCATCAAATTTGGCGGACTCTCTCAGCAAAGGGAGTACAGGGATGTTGGAGTGGAATAAAGGGGAGGGATAACCAGTGGGAGGGAACGGTGGGGACTGAGCTTTTCCTGTCTGATATTCAGATGTAATTCAGGAACGAGTGTATTCTAAATGACCATTTACTACTTTTTCTCCAGTATGTGTTTCTAGAGTATGTATTCTCAAACATAGCACAGATGTCATACACACATGCACAGGTCCAGGCACATATGCTCCTGTCGCCTGCTAAATATAACAGCATGCAAATAAAATATCCAATTCTGTTATAATTTCATGTCATTTTCATAATCTGAGTCCTGACTAATGTCGCAAGTGCTTAGCAGGATTAAAATGTACCCACATGACCAAAAGCTACTAAATCCTAAAAGTCTTTGTTTAGTTTGAATAGTTAATAAAACATTGGTTATTGTTTTGCTGTAGCTGCTACAGGAAGAGATGATTATCACATACACATATAATCTACTAAAGCGTTCTCCAGCTAGTGGACTAAAAATTATGAATTAAAGGGTCAATTCACCTAAAATTTTGTTTAAAAAAAAAAAAAGCATGCATACATGGATAAGCCAAAGACCTCACTTATAACAGTTTGAAATCCACTTCATATAATCCTACAAGCTACATTGGTAATGTGGTGGGTGAAGAAATCCCCAGGACAGTAGGCTTACCTTTCTTTTTGTATTTGCGGTGAACTGGCCCTTTAATTCATTCATTTTGAATAATTTGCTGTATTGTGAAGTCTCCCAAGCATCGTCCTTTAAAGCTTGATCTTCAGCGGTTCTACAGGGTTGCATTTATATTTAGTTGTAGACCTTGAGTTAATACATTTACAAAACAAAAAAAGGTCTACTTAAACTAGCCTGACGCTAACAAGCTACAAACCTACAGCATCGCACAGCTACAGTCCTTTAATGCAAATCAAATGCCTTTGTTTAGAGACCCCTACAAGTCGATCAAATACTCTGACTTTTTGTCAATATCATTTTCTCCCTGAGAGTTAGATGGGATGATTGACTCCACTCACAGAACTGCCCTGTCAAAGTGAGGCTTTAGCTAGAAGCAGCTTAGCCTAGCTTAGCATACAGGCTAGGAGATGAGGTAACAGCTGTTGTTGAAAAGGAGACAAAATTACAGCTCTGAGTTCACTTTTAAAATGTATGGTACAAAAACGAGTGAATTTGTTAATTGGTGCGCTTTAGAAGTTGTGTTTTTTTAAACCTTTGGACAGAGCAAGGCTAGCTGTTTCACTGTTAACAGCCTCAATGCTAAGCCTGACACAACATGGCTGAACACAAGGTCTCTGCCTCGCTCACAAAGTATTTTTGTGCCACGTTGTCAGAGAACAACACATCTGTATAAACAAGCTAGGCTAGTAGTTTCCTCTGCTTTCTGTATGTATGCAAAGCCAAGCTAACCAGCTGCTAGCTGTAGCTAATTGGACAAAAGGGTGGAAACCTTTTTCCAATCAAACTCTCAACAAGAAAAGCCAATTAGCACATTTCGCAAAATGCTGACCTATTCCTTTACTGGAATAGCGTGATAATTTGACCAAGATATCTTAATAAAATTAACATCCCATGCAACAAACTAGCACCTATGCTACAGCCTTGTTAGCCAGACATGGCTTTATGTTGTCTGGTTTGCGAGGTTTACCATGTTTTCCAGGTTCTCTCTTGCATTAATGACTATTTTTATGAAGAAGTATTTTTCCAGTGTTGGTATTAAAAGTACAGGTTGGCATCCACTTAGAGTCTATCTCCTCTAACAGCAAGCAATGCTAATGAAGTATGAAATATATTGGTCCATGTTACAGCACTATTTAGTGTTTTTAAAATGATTTCTGTATTGTATTCATTATTTTTTATACAGGTGATTTCTTTTTTAATTTATATTTTATTCTGTATGTCAATGTTTACAAAATGGTCCCTTGAAGGTTTTTTTTATTTTATTTAATTGGTCTGTATGAAAGTTTACACTGCAAATTATAACATGAAGTGTTTGAATTATTTTGCACAATCATGTAACGGGCCAGTGGGCGTGGGGGAATAGAATCCGTCAAATTCTGTACTTTTTGTGTGTATGATATAGTTCTAAAGGTAGACTTGAGTATTTAGTGTTACCGTAAAGTAAATTCTCATTCGTAGTGTAAATTCTCACCCTGTGTTTTAAAGGCATTGGGGTTCAAAAAAAAAAAAAAGAAAGAAAAAGAAACAAGAGACAGCCAATAAACAGGAAACATTTCTATGTAAACTACTCATTCAACCTCAGAATACTGTCAGAATGGACTTGAAATATAAGAGCACATAGTCTCCATTTCTGTAAATAATAGTTGTCACGGAGCAAGAAAATAAAAAAAAAAGTCCATTCTACCTTCTATGAGTATTTGATCTGAGAATATCACTGTCCTTATATCATGTGCTAAACTTTGTGACAGGTGTATTCAGTGGTCTTTAAAACTTAAACATACTGTGTGACAGGCAGGGTGAAGAGACCGACTGTCTTTGACCAACATTGTCCTCTTTGTGCTCTAATGCTGTATTCAGTTTACACATGTGACCACGTCTTATCTGCAGAACAGCGCCTTCAGTGTATTTGTCTTAATCTGCTGAAGTGTTCCAGTCCCAAACGCTGTATTATGAGTTTTGAATAAATCTGTCATTTGGTAGACACTGGCATTCTGGTGGTTTTGTTAGAAAGACTTATCTGATTGTGTGTAGTGTGTGTTGTGATTTAGGAAGATGATGGAGTTCTTGTTAATTTCAGATCAACAGAAAATGGAAATATGAATGAATTCATTAATTTATGTGTTGTTGTTTTTTTTCCAGATAACTCCACAGCCTCTCTTTCTTTCACTTTCTTCTGGCTTTTATCTGGTATCTGGTCTGAGCATGACTAACACTCTACTTCTACCACCAATTATTCTGCAAATATTCTGTTATTGTCGCTTTAATGCGTCCCTTGTTCCACTAAGTATGTTCAGAAAAGTAACTACAAAAAGTCCTCTTACGACAAGGTGAGACATCCATGTACAAGTCTTTTAGCAATCTTCTGTTTTGATACAGGGCCGCGTAAGGAAACAGAGCTGCAAATGATCATCCCCGGAGAGAAGAAGGTCCTTGGGGAGGGTCCTAATCGCAACGGACAGAGTGCAGTAGAAGACAAGTAAGATACTGGACAATTCTCTCTCTTTTGCTTTTTCTCTGCCAGGAATTTTAAATTGACCCTGTGCACTTTCATAACCTGTCTGCGGCACCAAGGTAGGTGAGTGGTCTTTAAAGATGGACTTGATATGCAGGCCTATCCTTTAATAACCAGTCTAGTGGACATGACTTTATCATATTACTTTAAGGAGCCTGGTGGATGTGGTGTACGCCCTGAGGGATGAGGTACAAGAGCTGAAACAAGTGAGTAACTGGAAATTGTGACTTTCAGTTTAATTAGGTAGACTCTCTGTTTATAAATAACATACATGACATTGTCATTTTACCTTGTAGGATACCAAGAAGATGAAGAGGTCATTGGAAGAGGAGCAGAGAGCACGGAAGGATCTGGAAAAAGTTGTGAGGAGAGTGTTAAAGAGTATGAATGACCCGACCTGGGATGAGACAAACCTCTGAGGAGTACCATATCTACCTGAATATCTTGAAATCTACACAATGACGCGCATGACTTAAAGTTGGTTGTTTCATTTGAGAGGACAACAGTGAATCTGTCAGCAGGGTCCTTTTGTGCTTGTTTGAGATGAAAGTGTGTATTTGCTCTAAGGTTGGAGTCATATTTGCCTATTTTCTGTGATAAAATAAGGAATCACCGAAGTGATGATGAACAGACTTTGACCACCCATTCCATGATGACATTCCTTGAAACACAATAGGGAAGGAGATTACTCACTAAACTGTTGGTGTGTTCATCACTATCCATCATCTGTGTTTATGGCATCGACCCGGCTGCAAGACGAGTCGAGAGAAGTCCTCTGCCTATATTTATTCAAATTTATGCTGTCCAATGGTACATAAACGGTACGTTAATGGTTTAAATGGTCCAAAAGGCCTTGGACAAGTCTTAACCATTTCATAACCTCTCTGATGTTATTTAATTTTTTTTTTTTTAAATGAATTTTCTTTGTCCTCGTTCCCTGGCAAAGGCTTATTCTGTTGTTTTAAGGCTGAAGCAAGCGGAATGTCTGGAAACTCGTTTTAAGTGTGTTATTTTATTTTTTTGCAATTTCTGTTTCTTAATTGTATGACCACTTTGCGGTTTGACTCTCTCTCTCTAGGTTTCCCAGGGAATTGTACAGATATTGAACTTGTACTGTATAATGTAAATACTGCAAAAAGATGAGCCTCTGTCCTTGGGGAGAAATAAAGTTGGTTTTAGAAGAATGACTGAGTTACTGCCGAAACTGCTGCAACATTACAAAGGAACAATGATTCACGACTTTTTGACTCCCAAGTTTCACACGTAGGCTACACAAAGCTCTAGGGCTGGACAATATAGGCAAGGCAGGCAACTCCAGCTTTACATTCATATAAGCAAAAGTTTGTATTTTTTTGGTTGTATTCATTTTTATAGGGATTTGCACTGTAGGCTACATCTAGGCCTAGTTACATTCAAAAGCGATATTCCAATCACAATTAACCAGTAAAACTTTAAAATAGGCCTTTAATTATTGTTTCAGAACATACACGAGGCTACAAAGAATACAGTAGAATACAGACCTGTATCTATAAACTATACAGTATGCTACTTATCTAAAAAGAACAATTGAAATATGAGAGTGCAAATATGAAATTGTGCTAAACTTCCAGTAAGTCTCAATAAATGTTTCTCTTTCATTAATTGAAATTATAATAATAATAATAATAATAACTTTATTTATATAGCACCTTTTAAAAACACAGGTTTACAAAGTGCTTTGACAAACAGCAAAAACAAGAACAAACTAAACCAAACACAGAAGAACATAAACAACAGCAAGAACATAACAAATACTAAATACTAAAAATAATGAAATACAATTCAACAGAAAAGAACCCATAGTGCACGATACCCAACAGACATATATAACCTGACCATCACAAGAACCATCACAAGAACCCAGGAAACACAAGAACCCAACAACACGAGCTGAGACCAAGAGGAACCAAAGATTTAAAAAGATCCAATTCTGATAACCTAAGTACAGGAAGAAGACAACCAAGTGGAGTAAGTAATTGTCAAAGGCTTTTCAGGTAAGGCATTTAACAAACAACCGACTGAAAAACTCATATTGCGCAACTACGCCGTCTAAATAATAAAAAATCGCTGCGACGTGTACACTGTAGAGGGTGGCGCTAGTGCACCTTCTATGCTGGTTGCCAACCGCCTTTAAAAAAACCAACGAAGAAGAAGTAGCAAAATTGGCGGTAAATTTAACTGTTTCCGTCGGACATGTTGCCTGCCTGAAGTTAACATCGTGATGATACTGTTCAAACACTACTGTTACTCAAAGTGCATTTCACAAACTAGTGTCCCTATCACATCAAGTTTTAAGTCATATCTGTTGCATATTAGGTGACTAATGCTTGTGGCCTTTTCTTTTTACTACATTACTTTTGGTTAAGTATCTGGGAGAGATAAGTCTTGATGGTGGCAGATTCCCCAGCACCAAACAACTGAGAAATTGAGGAAAACTGCACCACTCACCCAAGCTAAGTATTTACCGAGTGCAAATGTACTGGAGGCTTTAGGCCTTTCCTAAAATGTCTTTGTAGTTGATGTTTTTTTAGCCTACTTCAATTTTAGTAAGTTAACCTATTTGTTTGTATAATAGACCTAGGCTATACTTCCTTCATCGTCATTTTAAAAATATCAGTAATAGCACAGCTTTGGACTTGGCTCCCCAAAAAAGAGACCATGAGTCCAGTGACTGTGGTCATGTTAAGCTGCATGCTGTAAATATTTTTCCCGCCTTAAACCTTTTTTTAAACAGGGCTTTCCTTTTTATGTGACGACTATTTCTGAAGCTGTGTTTCTGGTGCTTGCTTACTCAGGAATAAAGCCTATCTGTCTCTTAAACAGATTAATTCTATGATGTGTTTATCAGCTACTTGCTAAATATCTGTCTGCTGTGTATAGCTTTTTAAATTGAAAAGATTTTCTGCTGAAAGGGTGATCTGGAATAGTTAAGGAATGCTGCAGCAGGGTGTAAAAGTAACAATGATCTGAAGAAGCTAAAATGCTCTATACAGTAGACTAAGAGGAGATTACAAAGCTGCTTCATTTAAGACTTTGTTTGTAAAGTGTACAGCCTGATGTGCTTTTTCTGCTGCACTGCTCTATGTGCAATGACACGGCTAAAATGCAAAAGTTTGGTTATGGGATATATCAGCTATCTTCTCAAATGATGATTTGAATCACCAACTTTTGTGGGCAGCTGTCTGATCTGTTCCATGAGTTGATTGCACTGAACTGAAGCTGAAACTTGGGGGCATTTTCTTTTTGAGAAACATGAACTACTCTCCAGAGTTCCAAAAATAGGTTCACATGGCAATGGTCTTGATTGCATCTTGTTGTTGACCTAACAATGACAACGTGTGTGCGTGTGTGCGCGTGTGCACCTCTTATTGTGTTCCCTGATAATTATGACACGCTTTGTTGGAGAGAGATGATCCCGTTCTGCTGTTGCATGAATAAGCACAGATGTCAACCTTTTCACTGTGACTCTCACCATGTCCACTCATTAGTAATGAAAACAGTCACCTTTTGTTTCAAGCTGAATAATTCTTCATGGGAACAAAAGCAGGGTTCTCATTCATCCTGTGTGCAGCAGATCTGGAATGATAACGATAGTCCAGAACTGTTGTGCTCTGACCTTGTTGGTCTGACTCTTTAGCAGTTTTTTGGCTGCACTCAGTCACTAAATAATGAAAGTCAGAATGAAAAGAGCTGCTGCCTTGTGATTTGGAGGTTTACCTGGATCTCTTAGTTGACTTGTTCCAGATTTGGCTACATTATACAAATTTCTTGGGCTCCATATTTCCTTCATTTCCACCCCCACTTCAGCAAGGTGAACTTAAGAGCCTTCCTCTTCCAGTCAAGTGTGTGTTAGGTGAGAAACTTGTGAATTGAAGAGGCAGATGTGTTTTATCAGGGTCTGGCCTGCGCCAGCCCCTCTTCACTCTCTCCACCTCTTTCTTCCTGCAGGGTGGAGTGACAGCCTGTCACTGTGGGCGCTCCACAATAAGCCTCAGACCCCACGACTATTGTGGCGCTCAGAAAAAGCATCAAGGTCTTCCTCTCTCTTACGTTCACTCTTTTCTCTCTCTTTTCAAAGCAGAGAATCAATCAGCTGTACACACACACACACACACACATGCATACTGCACTTCTTTCCCCTTCCGTCTGTCTATTCAGCAGCCAGTGATCATTTAGACTTGACATGTATTGTGAAAAACTGAGCTGCTCTGCCTCTTTCTTCTTCTCTTTCTTTCACTCCCTTTCTCTTTCAACTGTCTGTCATTAATGTCCAGGTCTTACAATATACGAACAGTGGAGGAGAAGAAAGCGAAGAGTGAGGGATGAATTGATGGATGGGAGGATAAGCACTCAGTGTCCTTTCTTTAAAGATTTGTTATTGTACAGTACTGTCTCCCAGTCATTTTTGGTTGGTGTTTCAGTCTGAAAGCCC